CTGTCCGCGGTAAATCCCCGTCTGACATGAATTTAATGGCAAAAGGCACAAGAGATTGGACAACAGTCTAGAACCGGTCTATGCTCATCCATCAGGCGATCGCCGGGACGGCAGGGACTCACCTATTGCAGCGAACCCAGGGCCATAGAATTGAGGTCACTACCACAAGTTGGCTGGAACCTTCACCGCCAAAGCTTGTTCGAGGCCAATCGAACCGGACGCAGAGACGAGTAATGGTGCGTGAAGAGCGACAATTCCATATGGACTGGGGTATGAATAGCGCATCTGCCGTCACGGAGGTACACTCTTTCGACCACCGGGCAGGCAGCGGGAGCTCCTGCATCAGACTAGGCGCATTTCTTTTATGTAATGAAGAGCGAATTCCGGCTCCACACACTTCCCAACAGTATTCAGGCCGGTGCCCATCCCTGCCCTCTATGATATCCGTCCGACGTCAGAGTATGGCGTGTCGACTCAATGGGGGGAGAGTTCCAAGGCCAGAGAGATCGTGATACGAACTGCCGGCGTACGAATCTCCACACGAGGAGAATCCGGGGGATGAATAAATGGCGCCCCCGCATTGGAGTGAGCCCGGCCTGTCCATAGAGAAGGATATCTGTTAGGTAATAGCGGGGATGGAAAGGCAGCAGCATGGTCCATCTTCTGCTCCGACCGACAATCGCGGACAGTAGCGTAGAGGTGCACGTTTTCCCGGGAGAATGAAGTGATGCCATCCCAACGCAATGACCGATCTGAGCTAAGCTTTGCCAGAAGAGGGCGCCCTCTGAACCTGGGGAACCCGAGGCTCGAGGGGAAACGACGCGACTTGCCGGGGCGGTCGCAGGGCAAATGCGGACATCGAGAAGAAGCTCATGCTGAAAAGAGAGACACGAGGATAGTGATAGGATTCATGACGGCATGTATCTCTGGGAGAGAGAGAGAAGAGACAGGACAATGGGGAGGTGGTCGCGATAGATTGCACACAAATTGCGGAGTCTTGGGGGGGAAGAGGGGGAAGAAGGAGTAAGAGAGGAGGGAGACCAAAAAGGGAAAGTTTGGAAACTTCGGGCGGGCGGGACAAAGTTCACACGTCGGATCCGAGCTGGTCCCAAAGGAGGTTAGCGCGGTTCAGCCAGCAGCAGTTGGAGTAAGTGGTAAGTTAGTTTGTGTTGTTTGTTTCGGAGGAAGGTTGCCTGCCTGAGGATGGTTTGGTTCTCCAACAATCAATCAACAAACACCACTACCGTACCACCTCCAACGCGGAATAAAACTGCCTGACTTTTTTGACTTCCTGCCTAACTGCCCAGAAGGGGTGAAAATGCCGGTCGGAGATGAATGATGGTCGCGGGTGACGCGGATGGTGTTGAGACAAAGATCAGCAGATAGACTAACTACTGACTACTCCTTCGTACTCTGGTTAATTATTATGAGATAGGCAGATAGATAGATAGGTCGGCATGTTGGTCAAACCCGAGAGTCACAATACTTAGTAGTATCTCTCGGCCCGGGTCACCCATCAGGTCACCATGAGTAAAACCGAGAGCTAATAATTAAGAAAGAGAGAGGGAGGGAGGGAGGGGGAGGTGTGAGACGAGCGGGATAAGATAAGCGCCGGGATCAGCCAAGGACCTAATGGAACTAAACTAGTTTAGGTAGTATGTCTCCAACACTCGCTGTAATTACTGCTGTTTCGGTGCTCACACGTCCGCCCGGATTCAGTGTGTGAGCGATAGCAATTGGTCATCAACCTTGATAAGGCCTGCCAAGTGGTGGGCTTCACTTGCCGCATTCGTCAGGCTTCTAGAAGATTAATAATCCCCACCTCGTCAGGAAAAAGGTTACGCCGGTGTTTCTTAGGTTGTTTCTGATGTTGCAGGTCAGCGTCGCTTCCACCGTTGCCTGTTCCCGAGTCAGAACCCGACCCTCTCTCTCTCTCTTTCTCTCTCATCTTCCTCCGCCCGGTGAGTTGTGCGCCTATGGGTGTGTGTGCCTGCCAATCCTCTCTCGTGCTGCCGTCCCTTGTGTTCCCCATCCTCGGGACAGTGCATCCCGCCAAGTAGTAGAAAGTACACGCTTATGGATACCTCCTTACATCCCCATACATTAAGATACAGCGTTCAGCCTGTTCAGCCTCACGGCTGACCCGGGTGCAAATAAACTTCGCGCCGGACACCCCGAACGTAGTAAGAGGACGGCGTCGATCGGGAACGACGGAGAGGGAGGGAGGGCGGAGGAGGAGGAGCACTAGACTTACTTAGTTACTATCTACTACTGCAAGCGCAGCCAGCTGCCACGGGCTAATCATCGGTCCTCGAGTCTGGGGGAAAATGCAGACTAACGCGAATAGCCTTTTTAGCCTTTTCAGTCCGGTTGGGTTTGACCAGAGTGACCACCGGTTACTTGTCCGCAATGGGAACTAGGGTCGGGGTCAACTCTAACCCCAAACGGGTAAGGTCTGCAGTTCCAACGTCACCCTGGGGCTTAACCCCTGGTGGACGCTAGTCCATTTCCGGATGCCTAGACGGGCTAGGCACTAATATCGGGGACTTCATTGGTGCAATTGTAGAAGTGGCGGGAGCTTGGTCCCCACGTGGAGAGCAGATAAACTGGCAAACCTTAGCAACCGCCACTCTATCTCATTACCAAATCGTTTCCACTTTTTTGTGGTCACTTTCTGGTTTCTCCATCGTCTGATGGCCACCACAAAACTACGAAACTGGTTGAAATGTTCTTTTTTGCTCCATTCTCGTTGGTCTGTTCCTCTTCGTTTATCAGCTCCGACCTCTGCGGCGGTGCCCGGATTCATCCGACCCTCTTTCTACTCGCGCTCTCACTCTTGGTGCTCAGTCTGGGCGGACGGTTCTGTGCCTGCGGTGAACTTCCGTCCCGCTCCCATTCAAAACCCTCCCTCTTCCCTCTTGTTCCTCTCTCTTCTCCAGACTCACACACCTCTCTCCTTCTCTCTCTTCTTCCTCCCTCCTCCCCCACTCCCCGAAACCCTCACCCCAAGGCAATCGGTGTGTGACAGGGCACTGTGTGTTTACTCACTCTACCCTCCTCCACCCAACCGCCACTATCACTAACTCACCTCTTCCCTCTTCACACTACCTTCCACTACCTTCTATCTTATACATATATAACAATAACAACGTGATCATCATGGGTTACGGTGACGAGATCTCCGGCACGGACAACAAGTCTCAGAATGTCATGGGGGGTGAGAAGTATGGTGGTGCCGCCCAGTTTGACGGCGACCTGGTGGAGAAGATGAGCGAGGGCGAGCGGAACATCTACGAGGCGGGTATTGAAAAATATAACCGTCTGGGATGGAAGCGCCTGACGGTCGTGCTGATCGTCGAGGCCATTGCGCTGGGAAGTTTGTCCATTCCGGGCAGTTTCGCTACCCTCGGTATGGTGGCCGGTGTCATCTTGACCGTGGGATTGGGTTTTGTCGCCATCTACACCAGTTACGTGGTTGGTCAGGTTAAGCTGAAGTTCCCCGATGTTGCCCACTACCCCGAGGCGGGACGTTTGATGTTCGGCCGGGTGGGTTACGAGATTGTCTACGTGATGCTGGGTCTGCAATTGCTCTTCTTGACGGGCTCGCACTGTCTGACGGGAACCATCGCCTTCATCAACATTACCGAAAGCGGCGTCTGCTCCGTCGTGTTCGCTGTTGTCTCCGCCATCATCCTGCTGCTCTTCGCCGTGCCCCCCAGTTTCGCTGAGATGGCCATTCTGGGCTACGTCGACTTTGTCTCCATCATTGCCGCCATCCTCATCACCATGATCGCCACGGGCATTCAGGCCTCCGACACCACGGCTGGCCTTTCTGGGGTGAACTGGTCTGCCTGGCCCAAGGAGGGCATCACCTTCACCGACGCCTTCATTGCCGTCACCAACATCGTCTTCGCCTACAGTTTCGCCATGTGCCAGTTCTCCTTCATGGATGAGATGCACACCCCTAAGGATTACGTCAAGTCCATCTGGGCCCTGGGTCTGATCGAAATTGTCATCTACACGCTGACGGGTGCGCTGATCTACGCCTTTGTCGGACAGGATGTGCAGAGCCCCGCTCTGTTGTCTGCGGGCAGCATGGTCAAGCGTGTGGCCTTTGGTATCGCGCTGCCCGTCATCTTCATCAGTGGCTCGATCAACACGGTGGTGCTGGGCCGTATGATCCACGGGCGCATCTTCAAGAACTCGACCATCCGCTTCATCAACACCAAGATGGGCTGGATCACCTGGCTGGCGCTGATCACCGTCATCACCTGGGTGGCATTTGTGATCGCCGAAGTTATTCCTTTCTTCTCGGATTTGCTGTCCATCTCTTCTTCCCTCTTCATTTCGGGCTTCACCTTCTACTTCCCCGCGCTGATGTGGTTCTTGCTGGTGCGCGAGGGCAAGTGGAACACGCCCAAGAACCTGATGCTGGGGGCATTGAACCTGTGCTGTTTGCTTATTGGTCTGGTGACGCTGGGGGCTGGTACCTATGCCAGTGTCGACGACATTGTAAGGATCTCCCTCCTTTCTTTGATTTTGAATTCTGTGTACTTGATGCTAATATCTTATTGTTTAGATTCTCAACTACCGCAGCGGATCCGTGCGTGGTGTGTTCACTTGCGCCGCTCCGGAGTAAAGCATTTCTTGTGTGATTATTTCGATGGGGAGGCGACTCCGACCGGGGCCCACCCTCCTCCCTTGCAAATACCCCCTCCACTGCATTTGCATTTGATGTACATATGACTCGATGGTTATGATTTTCTGTGTGTGAATACATTTACGAGCGCCCTGTTGATACACGAGCGGGTCTTTTTTCTGTCATCTTTGCTCCTCATCATTTGCCCTGAACACTCTCAATATTCTCTGCACCAGCACTATACCTCCCCATGTTCTTTATGATTTTTATTCATTTTTCTTTCCCAGCGATAGATCAAGACCCTCCTCGCAATAGAGTTCTACATTATCATCATCTTACTTTTCATTAGTATACAGATTGATTAAGCCTTGTATTGGGAAGATAAGCCTTGCGGTGGCGCTGGATTGCCCACTGGATCGAGTCCAGGTTCAAGGTTTGGGGGAATGTCCGGATGACGCGGGGAGGGCGGAGGTCCATGCCACCGCGGGCAACATGCAACGTCACAACCACGATCCCTATCCGGAGGAACCGATCGAACAGCAGTGGAAGCATACTTGTAAGCACGCCATCGGATCACTATACCCGCTGATGTTGCGATGGATGGATCCAGTGGGGGTTCCGAGTAGTATGTATCTCCAGTGTCCACTCCAACCCATGTCATGATGTAGTGGATGTGTGATCGCCGCTGAGGTGAGATGGGCTGATACCACCGAGAATACTACTTGCTACTTTACTACTGTGTGATAGATCGACATGATGATGGTGACACTTGTATTTGTGCTACTGGATAATGCAGCAGTGCTATCTCAGTCTCACTGCATGATGGTCTGGTGGTGTTCATTATTCCCCAACCAACATCATCAGTGCGAACCCTAAGTCATCATGGGATAAATATACAATGGTACTTACTTAGTAGTGATTTTCATGCCAGTGGCAATAATCAGCCACCTCTTTAGCCACCAGTGGATAATGACTCCCCTGCGATATAGCTATAAGGCGTCCAGTTAAGCTTTCACTATCCCCATCTTGGATGATGGCTTTTCTCACTAGTTAGATCATACCACCATTTCTTATCAATGTTCATCTGCCGACCAGTTGCCGAGAAATCAGTAATCAACATCTATCATGTGACTTGTGCATGCACCACCTGAGTCATTGCTCAATAAGTAACTAACTATTAACTAATTATGCAGAATGCATGACTGATTTAATAACAAATGAAAGTCTCTCCTATTCTTTGCTTCTTCTGCTCCCCTTTTCCTCTCCACCATCCACAGGCATCAATATATTTCAAGTAGCTACGGGTCTTCGGATCTATTCTTAACACTCCTATACCTACCCTGGGTTATATAGCCCTATAAAGACACCACGCCCGTAACTATAAAGTATTTACACAAATAAGTATAGGTTTCACCTTCCAATATGAGATCCATCAACTTGACATCCGATCGACACTCACTAGCTGAAACATTGCCAATCATTTCCCCCTCGGCTGCCCCGTATCCCCAGCTGGACCTGCTATTTCTATCATCCGGCCTCCGCATGTCTCACTTCAACATCTCCCATCATCATGCCCTCGCCAGCTTGTAGGCGTCTATATAACCTCCGGGCTACTCCGGATCGGAGCTGTCCTCTTCATGCTCTTCCCATCATAGCAATTCCAACTCCATCTCCAGTTCCTCCATCTCTTTCGTTTCCATCGCCATCGCCATCATGAAGTTCACTTTCGCCGCCATCACTGCCTTTGCTGCCACAGCATTGGCCCAAAATGTCCAGATTGCCTCTCCCAAGGCTGGCCAGACTGTGCAGGCAGGACAGCAGGTGACGGTCCAGATTGAGCGCCCGGTAAATCCTGCGTTGCTGTTATTCCCGACCTTGAATGGTGTAAATTGTATCAATTAGACTAAACTGATATTCTGCGATAGACTCCCCCCACCAACGTCGAGGAAATGGCCATCGCCATCGGCCTGCAGTCCTGCGCCTCTGCCACCTGCTACCCGGCCTCGGAGGTCCTGGGTCAGGTTCTGTACAATGGCGCTTTTGACCCCGAGTACCACGAGTGGTATTTGCCTCAGTACCAGAACTTCACCGTCACCATTCCCGAAGGTACTGCTTCGGGCAAGGCCGTGCTGGGTGTTGCTCATGCCTCCCTTATTGGGGTAAGTTGAATGCCATTTCAACTGTTGGATCTCTGCTGATTTAATTGTGTTCTAGGCTTCGTTTGAGCCGTACCTCCAGACCCTCAGCCAGAACATCACGATCGCATAGTTTGGTGGAGTAGATGTACAAAGGGGGAATTAAGGGGAGCATAATATTCTCGCACGGCTGATAAGTCTGTGTACATAGCAATTCATGAATCAAGTCGAGCAACTCTTCGAACAGTACGCGCAATCTGCACCCGATGATATAGCTCGTCCCGGATGGTGGTGATTTAGCGCCAATCACGCCATCCCTTGCATTTCGCTTCCACGACAGATCGGCATCGAGCATCAACAGGAATCGCATTGTCCAATGGATAAGTTAAATGATAGCATCTCAAGTGGGGTGGTGGTGTTTTCACAGAATACTTAAATAAAGAGCAGAGCTTCGCGGTCCCGCTACAATGTAGATAAACCACAGTAATACTACAATCATGAAAGGACTCTCACTTCTCGCCTTCGCCTCTCTGGCGCAGGCGTCCATTGACTCCTTCGCAGCAATTGACAAACCAGATAGCCAGAATGTCCTACAGGACCATCATGCGTCCCACCACCCTTCCGGCAGCCGTCCCAACATCGTCTTCATCCTCGTCGATGACCAGGACTTGCAAATGGACTCCCTCCACTATACTCCACGCATCAACCACTACCTCGCCAGCCAGGGCGCCTTCTACCGCAACCACTTTGTCACTACTGCTTTGTGCTGTCCTTCACGAGTGAGTCTCTGGACAGGCAAGCAGGCTCACAACACCAACGTGACCGAGATCTATCCCCCATACGGTATACCCCTCAACCCTACCCCAACTACCAATACCCAAAGCACTAACAGAAAACTACAGGAGGATACCCCAAATTCGTCGCCGAAGGCCACAACGAGAACTGGCTTCCCCTCTGGCTCCAAGCAGCCGGCTACTCCACCTACTACACAGGGAAACTCTTTAACGCCCACACCGTGGACAACTACAATGCCCCCTTCGTGACGGGCTTCAACGCCTCCGACTTCCTCCTCGATCCGTACACTTACCAGTACCTTCGTCCTCACTACCAACGGAACCAGGACCCTCCAACTAGCTACGAGGGCCAACATACCGTCGAGGTACTCACTAAAAAGGCCCTCGGGTTCCTCGACGACGCTATCGCCGGCGACGAACCATTCTTCCTCACCGTCGCCCCAGTCGCGCCGCACTCCAACTTGAACATGACAGACGAAACAGACACCACAACATTCCGCTTCTCTCCTCCCATTCCACTAGATAAGCATAAGCATTTGTTTCAGGATGCTAAAATCCCCCGAACCCCCAACTTCAACCCTGACCATCCTAGTGGGGTCAGCTGGGTGCGGTCCCTCCCGCAGCAAGATGCTGAGAGTGTTGCATATAACGATGAGTTCTATCGCGATAGACTCCGTTCGTTGCAGGGTGTGGATGAACTCGTTGAGGAGATTGTGCTTCGTCTGGACGATGTGGGTATCCTGGATAATACGTATATCTTCTATACCTCGGATAATGGGTACCACATCGGTCAGCATCGGTTACATCCTGGTAAGGAGTGTGGATTTGATGAGGATATTCGAGTACCGATGTTTGTTAGGGGACCGGGGGTGCCGAGAGGCGTGGAGGTGAGTGCGGTGACGACACATATTGATTTGGCGCCGACGATTTTGGATATTGTGGGTGGTGAAGCAGAGGGTGAGCTGGATGGGGTGGCGATTCCGTTGACAACAAAGGAGATCCATGCTGCGGATCTGGATGGGGGCAGACATGAACATGTTAATGTCGAGTATTGGGGGTGGGCTGGGTTTGAGGGCGCGTTTGGCCGGGATGGTAAGTATCCCCCTGCCTTTTACGGCATGTGAGGGATATGCTGATGGAGTATGACAGAGAACGGTGGCCCTGCTACCTTTATCAATAACACCTACAAGGCCCTGAGGCTGATTAGCCCCGATTTTAACCTCTACTACTCTGTTTGGTGTAGTGGCGAGCACGAACTATACGATCTCACGGTATGTCAGCCCTACCATGCCACCAATTCTACGTACTATACTGACACATATGCATAGACGGACCCCTACCAACTGCACAACCTCTACCCAAACCTTGCAGCATCCAAAATAGGATCCTACTCCGCCGTCAAAATCTCCACCCGTCTCGATGCCCTCCTTATGGTGCTCAAGTCGTGTAAAGGAGATACTTGCATCCAGCCGTGGCGGACGCTGCATCCTTACGGGGATGTGCATAGCTTGCTTGATGCGCTGGACGACACGTTCGATGCGTTCTATGTCCGTCAGGTACGGGTGCAGTTTGGCTGGTGCGAGCATGGATATTTGCTCGAGGCCGAAGGGCCGCAGGTGCCATTGGCTTATCGGCATACGAGGTGGAGTGATTGGGTTTGATGCTCTAAGTACTCGGATGATCTTAAGAAGCAAAGGGAATGACAGTAGCGATGCCTGGAAAAGTAAATACAGTGAATTTCAAGGGTGATTTGTAGATAACAAAATCAAGAATCCTGACAGTGATATCATAGAAGGATTATGTTTCATGCTTATGAAGCTCATAAACCTTTCATAGTACTTTCTTGATTGTATTTTCGTTAAGCTCCGAACGCTTACAGCCGACTTCCCTTCCCCGGCTCACTCACCAACTTCACCTTCTGCAAAGCATTCCCGTCCTTGAACCCTCTCATCAGCTCATTCGACCCCTTCTCCCCAGCCCCCAACTTCCTCCACTTGACCAACTCCAATAATTCCGACTGCACTCCTTCCACACGGTCCACTACCAACTGTCCCAACACCGGCAGGAACTTGAACCCATGTCCACTACCACCCGTAGCCACCATCAATCCCTTCTTCCCAGGCACCCGATCAATCACCCAGTGATTATCATACGAGTCCGTATACCAGCACAATCGTGTCTGAGAGATCCCTATTCCCACCTCCTTGAGTTCAGGTATATACCGATCCAGGAAACCTTGAAGAACAGAGACAGACTTTTCAGGTAGCCGACACACAGACGGAGCCGTCCATTTCGTGATCGGGGCGCTGCGCACCTGTCCATCTAATTGAACCTGCGGATGCGTGTATTTCGTCCCGCGATACCCGATCTTCAGTACTCCCCGGTCATCCAGCGGGAAGCCATAGAGATTGCCGTTTTCGCCGCTGCGCACGTTCCATTGGAAGACGGGAAAGTTAGCTGCCGAGAATCGTTGGCGGAGTGGAGAATCCTCCGGGATTTGTATCATCGCTACAGACCCCGCAGTGGTTTCGCAGAGCCCGTCCATTTCTGGGACGAGGGTGGGTGTCCAGCCCCCGCAGGCAACAATGGTCAAGGCTGCCGTATGGTGTTTGCCATCGGCGGTGCGAATTCCGGTTATCTCGCCATTGGATTCGAGGAGACCCTCGAAGCGACCAGCCTGGCGGTCTAAGACGAGCTTGACGCCTAGTTTCTCCGCTAGGTGGAGTGCGTAGCGACATGCCTTGTCGGCATAGACGAACCCTCCGATCATGTCGAGGTATCCGCTTGGTTGTTGTCCGTCGCTCGAGAGGTGAAAGGGGTCGACTGCGTAGCCATAGCCGTCTGCTTTGGCTCGGGTGGCTTCTTGCGGATTGGACGCAAACAGGTACTGAGTGTGCCCAAGGCCGGCCTTGGTCAGGTTCTCTACTGAGGCCTTTTCGAAAGGGTTCAGGCCAGCTGCATCGCCGTGATCACCGAAATGGTAGTTGCCGCAGTTGACATAGATGCGTTCTTTGCGAGTCATTCCAGGGGGAAGAGTTGTCCCTTTCGCGAGAGTGTCGTTCCACGCCTCCCATGCCTTGATTGCTTCCAGGGTGAAGTTCTGGTACCATGTTTCGTGGCCGTAGGCAGCCCGTATGATCTTGTTGCAGTCTGCAGCTTGCCATTAGCATAAGTTTTACTTGGCAACGATGCGTAGTACCTGCAGACGCGGCATCACAGCCACGATCAAAGTCGTAAAGCGTCTCGTGGTAGGGCTGGCGGTCAAAGACGGTGACGTTGTGATACCCCCTCCGAACAAGATGAATGGCGCTGGAGAGGCCAAACACGCCCGCGCCAACAATGGCGATTGGGGCAGATTTTTCGAGGGGAGCAGACATGATTAACGTACGATAGATACACTGTGAATGGTGCACGCTTATCAGGGTCGGTGCAATTTATAGTTGTGAATTGGTTCTGACAGTGGCGCTGCCAAGCTACTGATAGGATAAAGTTGGACGTGCGGAGAAGCTGGACACCCCCACCCTTTAATGCTGGTCACACTGATAACGCGGGGCTGCTGCAGATACGGGATGGTTGGACCTTCCTGGCAGGAATGAGAATGACGATGATGATGCCACAAGGACGAAGATGATGTGTTCCAGAGAGGGGTTATCTATCATCTCATCGCTGGCATCGGGCTGGCCCGCCTGGGCTTCCATTTGCGGCAATCCAACCCTGATATGCATTGAGTTTACTCCTCACGGCGGAATGATACGAAGGGGAGCCTTTTGATGCCATATTCCATCTTATCTGTTGCTGGCATCAGGATCGATAAGTGATGGACTCGTTATGCCATGTGATCCTTGACTCCGACAGCGAAGATGATAGTGAACTGAAGCATATATCCTCGGGCTGATCCCGATTGTCCATCGAGCGTCCTTTCTCAAAGACAGAAAACACCTCGGAACCGTCTGAGGCGTATAGTTGACCACTATCCCACTGTAATATTCACCAAAGCTAGCCATGGACACGCAGAAAGATGACTACAAGTCACACGCTTTCGCAGAAGAAGCAGGTGTCGTCGTAGGAGACTCCATCCCCATCGACGCCGCAGCGGAGCGGTCGGTCGTGCGCAAGCTGGACTTCCGGTACTTCCTCCATCCTCTGGCTTGCTGGAGAAATGCTCATTTGCAGGCTGCTTCCGGTCCTCTCGCTCATGTACTTCTTCAACTCCCTCGACCGCTCCAACCTGGGCAATGCCAAAACAGATGGCCTCGAGAACGACCTCCACCTGGTCGGAAATCAGTATAATGTCATATTGGCGGTCTTCAACGTTACGTTCTGCTTGTTCGACCTGCCGTCCAATTTGATGTTGAAGAAATTTAGCGGAAAGGTGATGCTGCCGACAATGATGATAGGATGGTGGGTTACCTTTCTGGTATATCTGATCCCGCTAACCACAGCCCCAGGGGTTCCATCACACTGCTGCAATGCGCTGTCTTCAACTTTGCAGGCCTGTTAGTCTGCCGTTTGATCATGGGGATCTTCGAAGCAGGGTTCTTTGGTAGGTGAAAGCTTCCGCTGCTGACCTGCTTGCTGACCGCACCAGCTGGAGTGATCTTCTACCTCACACAGTTCTATAAACGCAACGAGATCGCCTTCCGACTGAGCATCTTCTACGGCATGGTCACTATCGCTGGTGAGTATCCCTTCTCTGATACCTGATCCTTCTGACGGCTCTAGGTGCCTTCTCTGGCCTCATCTCGTTCGGTGTCTTTCAAATCAAGCACCACCTCCCAGGCTGGAAGTACCTCTTCCTCATTGAAGGTGGCGCCACCCTAATCATCGCATCCTTTTCGCTTTGGTGGCTCCCTGCCAGCGGCGCGCAGTGCCACTGGTTCAACGAAGCTGAAGCTCGCGCGGCCCAAATGCGCCTGCTGCAAGACGGGTCAGTGCGAACGGGCGAGAAGCTCTCGATCACCGAAGCCTTGGCGGCGCTGAGTGACTGGCGTGTGCTAGCATGGGCTATCAGCTGCTTCTGCTACGGCGTCGCCCAGACCTCCGTTAGCAATTTCCTACCGCAGATGGTGGCTCTCTTGGGGTATTCCACCATCAAGACGAATCTCTACACGGTGGCGCCGTACTGTGTCGGCACGGTCGTGCTATGGATTATCTGCAAGTCATCAGATCACTTCCGGGAACGTTCCATGCACTTGGCAGGCTCGCTGATGATCACCTTTGTCGGGTACATCATCTTGATCGCGGTGGACGCGTCAGAGCACCAGGGTGTCGCCTACTTTGCGTGCTTTCTATTGGCAGCCGGAGCTTTTGTGCCTAGCTCTGTCTTCCATAGTTGGCACACGAACAATGTAACTGACGAGTCGCAGCGTGCCGCGACTGTCGGATTCCTGGTGGGCGCGGCCAACTGTGCCGGCATCCCGTCCAGTCTGGCATTCAAGGCAGACACAGCCCCGCGATATAAGCCAGCGCTAATCGTAAACTGCGCATTTCTCCTGTTCGGAGTGCTGGTGATCCTGGCGTTGGGGACGTATTTCCGCTACGATAACCGGCGCCGCGATCGCGAGCAAGGAGTGAGGCTCACCGCGGCGGACGTGTCGACCAAGTCGCTGGTGGGCGGATGGAAGGATCCAAATTGGCGATGGACCGCATGAGGTCAGATATTGCAGTTAGTTTGGCCTTGTCATACGGCGATATGTAACCATGGGTGTGCCCGTAATGGGAGAACAAGGATTGTTGACGTCGGCGTAGTAAAACCAATAAACTGGCTGAGACAAAGTCATTCAGCATTCCACTGTTTCAAGCTCATTCCCTGACCGCGATAAACTTTGATAAGCATCTATGCTATTCAATCGGACAAAGAATGATGCTTCCATTGTTACTGGCTGCCATAAGCCTCAGCTACCTCGCGGAGGGATCACCCGGACGTCCGAGCTGACTGGGGTGTACGACCCCAAAACCGGACAGCTTGACTACGGCGACAGGGGTTGAGCCAATCTACCTGTACAGCGTGTTTCCCAACGGACGACCGTTAGGGCGGCTGATGCGCCCCATGATTCGCCGGGTATGATCTTATCTGGGCCTATCCTGAGCTGTTCGAAAGGCTGACAGGCACCAGGGATATGCAAGCCATAACAACCCCAAAAGTGAAATCCATGCTCCCCCTCCTTCTTTCTTTTCTTTCGCTCTATGAACCATATTGGTTCCATGCCCCCTCATAATTTCCTTTTCTCATGGCTGCCACTGAATGCACGCCTCTACTCGAACCCTCCAAGCAGCCGCAAGAGCGGTCATCGCGATGGCGGGTTCTGGCTTTGATCTGTTTCATTGTCCTCGTTCAAGACTTTGCCGAGTATCTCTCTCAGGCACCCCAGACTGAAGTCTGGCTCGAGATCGTCACTCGCAAGTTCTGTCCCGTAGGGCAGGATGGACCGGAATGCCAGATGGACCGCGTGCAGAGGGAGGTGGCTCTCCTACAGGGCTGGAAGGATACGCTGGAGCAGGTGCCGGGTAGGTATCACTTTCTTCATTGATCAGGGCTCGACTGACAAAATTTAGGTATATTGTTCGCGGTGCCATACGGCGTGCTGGCTGACCGCATCGGACGTCGGCCGGTGTTGCTTCTATGCGCGGTGGGGTTCACGCTGAGCGATGTGTGGACCAAGGCTGTCGGTGAGCGCGGATCCTACAGATTTGAATCTTTCAGGGCTCAATAACTGAGTGGTTGATTACGGTCCAGGTTGGTTCTCCGATCAACTCCCGCTGCGACTGATCTGGCTTGGTCCGATAGCTCAAGTGCTGGGTGGTGGTACCCAAGTAGCCACCTCCATGATGTATGTCATACTCGCTGATCTGTTCAGCGATGAGGAACAGTAAGAGACTTCCATGCTTCTAGTGGAGGATTACCTAGCTCACGAAGTGTAGAACCACGGCATTTCTCTACGTATCGGCCACGGTGCTCGTCAGCGAGATTCTGGCCACTCCTCTTAGTGCCCTGCTCATGATGAAGAGCATATGGCTACCGTATCTACTATCACCTGTTTTCAATGCTGGTGGTGGCCTCCTCCTTTTTCTCTTACCGGAGACATTACCACAGACACCGCCCGGCCAACCACCTTCATCGGAGCAAACATCACAACGACAAAATTTCCAGGGGCGCATCAGAGCTGCAGTTGACGAGCTGGGCCAGTCAATCGCTGTGACCTGGCGACATCGCCCGGTGCAACTGTTTTTGGTGGTGTTCTTTATTGCGTATCTGGGAATGCAGGTAATGAAACTGCTTCTGCTCTTCGCTGTCGACCGGTTTCATTGGACGATTGCGCAGGTGAGTGGGACCGGGAAAAATCACGATATGACCAGACCTAACATTTCCTTTTTAGGCCAGCTTCCTCATACCCGTGCGAGGGTTTACTAGACTACTGCTGCTTCTCGTAATCCTGCCAGGCATATCACACTGGCTCATAGAGCGACGGCGCATGTCCCCATTCACCAAGAATACTAGACTGGCTCTGACGAGTAGCGGTTGCATGGGCATGGGATGTCTGCTGATTGCGCTATCCAGTCATCCGGCGGGCGCAGTGCTGGGGCTGGTAGTGTATGCGCTTGGGTCAGCGATGCATCTATTTGCTCGGCGCATTATCACGTCGCTCGTCGACGCGCATCATATGGGCACGCTGTATACGGCGATTGCGGTGATGCAGGGAATCGGAGTATTGGTGGCCGGGCCGATGATGGCGACGGCGTATGGTTGGGGACTGGCAAGGGGTGGAGTGTGGACGGGGGCGCCGTTTATGCTGGTGAGTGGACTTTATGGGGCGGCTGGGTTGGCAATCTTCCTGGGAAGTTGGGAAGGCCGCAAGGACGATCTGGAGAATGGTCAGTGAGAAAGCTGTGAAAAGCCGCGAGACTATTGGCTAGCAACATACACATCATCCCTATTTTTCACCGCACTTATAGTCTAGCACAAGATAAGCAATTGTGGTACCTAGTTTGACTGAAGCTTGACACATCTCAGTTCATCGTTGAAGCGCTGGACCGACCACTCGTTAGGGATAAAAATAGATCCCCTATAGTACATCGTAAATACGCCTCGGGGATCGTCGATAGGTACCGATCCCCTGCTGTTTGAGGTGGTGCGAACATTGCCTGCAAATGAAGATCAATTCCAGCGTGACTTTATGTAGACTAATATCCCATGAAATAAGGTTTAGTCCATTGGGAAAGTGCAATGTGCCGTCGTCTTCGATGTCTCTGATGGATGTTGCGATGAAGGAGAAAACAAAGATTGAGGGAGATTTGTGGGTGCCTGGCCACTAGGCCTGTTCGGGTGGATTTGCTGCCTTATTGGCCTCACCCGCTCACCTGATCGCTGACCTGATCAAAATCCCCTTCTGAATAACTTCATGACGAAACTCTTCCCTCTTCCTTCATCTCAATCAAATCAAACATCAGAAAGAACAATCCACGTTCGGCTTATTTTTCATGCACCAACTCGGCATATACATACATGTGTATGTTCTGCTTGTCAGGATGATCATCCAGATCATGAAACCCACCGCCAATCACTGCCACTTGCACTGTGTCCGATCCTTGGAAATCGCCGTGGAAGCCTGATGGGCTTCATTCGCCAATGACGCGTCTTACTCCCCGGGCTAGCGGCCACTAGTCCATCCATCGGACTCCATCCATGGCTTTCATCCGCGAATCCAGCCGCCGTTTTGCCCAGCCCGGCCCCCACTGGTCCTCGGTCGGTTCCTGTTTCAAGGCTATTTTTTGCTCCTGACCTTTTTCTCTCCCTCTCTCCTGACCCACCACACGTCCAGTCCAGACTAATTTGATTCCCGACGCCGCCGCCGCCGCTGCCTCGCCCATCGCTCTTTCTCCTGACCGTTGCTTGTCCTTCCACTGGACCTGTCCAGTCCATCTTTCTCCTTGCCCGTCTCTACTACCTCCACCCACCAACATACACTCGTTTCAACGCTTTGTCTTGTCCTTCATTACTTTCCATCTCAGTCACCCACCATGCAGTTGAAGTCCATCATCCTCGCTTTGGCTTTCAGTGCCTTTGCTCAGGCTCAGACTATTCACGGCTACACCAAAAAGGATTGCCCGAGCGACTCCTCCAAAACTGCTTCCCAGCAGACAACCCTGGACAAGTGTCTGACTCTGGACGGTAACGATTACAAGTCCCTCAAGGGTAGCCCTGGCGACTACGTCCTCACGGCATTCGCGGAAACGAGTTGTAATGGCAACGGCTATGCCCTGCCGCCCGGCAAGTGCATCAACGGCGACAAGTTCACAACTTATGAGGTATGTGCATAGAAACGGATCTGGCACGGATGACTCTGGGGTTGCTAATTTAATCGAACTATACAGATCCAATTTATCCCCATCGCCAAGCGAGACAACGCAACGGCCCTGCTGGAGTTGTACGCCGACTACTACGCCGAATTCCCCGAGGAGGCCGAGGAGCTTAAGAAGCGCCAGTTGAACGAAGCGTAGGGGCAGCAGATGGACGCCACTATACAATGACCTTGTTGGATTCTGCATAGTTGAATGACTGGATTATTCTTTTTGAAGTCTTTGGAGTTTGGGATACCATATCTGCGACATTATTACTAGCACCGTGGCACGGATGACAATACAAGCTATTCTCGTTTCCACTGGAGTCATATAGGAGGAACACCTGAGTTGGCAGCCGATCGGTTGGATTGAAAACCTGGATTGGCATGTTGCAGGTCGCATGGAGGCCGCTGCGATGGAACCGATCCGAGCGGACATCAGATGACTTGCTGATTTCTGGACCCCATGCTTTAAGCACGCCAAACATCGTAGCTCGTCAATTACATATAATGGTCGGACAAACGATCTTATAAAACTTGGTGCACCGGCCTAGAAACGGCACCCTCCAGTGCTACTCCAGTCACTGCATGTCTCGAGAATTGAAGATGGATCATGTGCTATGTATGCTAGGCTTGGACTATGTAGAAAGGACTGATGGTTTCTTGCAGAATTGCCGAAAAGACAACTGAGTATCTCGTCACCATGAACACTTTGGACAAGGCGTTGCAGACAGCAAATTAATTGTAATTGGATTCTACTGTTATTCAGCCACCAACCGGGCTACAATCAACAAGAATCACAAAATGATCGCATAAGCGGATTGATTCTAAACTCAACTAACGGCAATTGTTAACTTTCATTCTGGGTTCAGTTCAAACGAAGAAGCCAACAACAAAGGAACACGATCACAAGGCAGTCTTGCGTGAATAGGATTGTCTCGGCGGATAAAGGCTACAGCCTAATCAGACGTCTAGCACAGCAGCGCCGACCATTCCTCCTGAGGTCCGGTATACTCAGCAGTTGGATCCGCCAACCACCACAGCCGATCGGGCGAGGTGAGGATCATATACGCACTGATGATGTTCATGCAGCTGCAGTCCGTATACTTCTTCTCGTACGCCTTTCCGATGGCCGGCACCCGCTCCTGCCAGGTCATCGCATCGTAGCCCCGGCATCTCGAACACTCCTTGAAATGCAGGACACAGTGCTGGAGCAGCTCATCGTAGCGTTGCGAGTTCTGGCACCGGTCTCGCAACGAATAGTTTCCTGGCTGGTCGCTGCGTCCAACTGCCTTCAACATCGGGTTCATGACATTGAGCACCGCATCGCCGTACGGGTCCACATCAGACCCGGGACTATTCTTGCGCGGAGGCATCAACTTGTCCAGCAACAACCCGGTCTGGTACCGCGCCATGTAAATCTGCCAGGCCAATTCGCGGCCAGCTAGATGAATGGCCCACAGGGCGCCGTTGTCCAGTGCCCACGCCCATACATCAATGCAGAACCGTCGCACCATGGCCGTGCCAGGCACTTCCTGGTGCACACTGACAATGGTCAACAGGTTGTAGTATTCCTTGGCCATATTATCATGCCGATAGTCGCAGATATCATGCATCACAGTGGACGCGAATGAAATTGCATCCACTTCCTCGTCTGTGCCGATCAGCGGTTGTTCCAGCTGCGCATGCAGGGCTAATGCACGTCCCGCCGAGTTAATCAGCCGGTAGCTGATGCTCCGCCGCTCGTCGTCGGGGAACTTCAACTCTGTCGCTTTGGGATGCAACACGTCCGGGTATACGGATTGCACGCACATCAGCCAGGCGTCCATGATCTTGCGGTGCGGGCCGGGTCCGTGGTCTCGGTGGACGTGCTCAATGTATTCGCTGACGCGCTGCGTGCAGATGTCCAGCACCACGGGGAGCTCTCCCAGGAAGTGGAGGTAGTCTGGAAAACAGGCCAGCACGCCGGCGGTGCAGCTCCCGTGCACGCATTCGTGGCAGAGCTTGGTATTGTCTGACAGACACCAGGTGAAGCCGTAGACTTGTTCTGCCACGGCGTGCCAGAAGGGGGTGTCTGGGACATCGGGGAAAGATTCTCGGAAGCAACGAAGGAGGTATTCACCACGAGGCAGAAAGGCCAGACGGCTGGGAGCTGCCGTAGCGAGGAGCTCGGGATCAGGAAGGTCCTTCAAATCCTGGGTCCAGGCCAGACATTCCTGGAAGATGGCCGCCCGCATGTGTGCGTCGTAGATGCCCACGGGATTGCGAGCATCGAACAATTGCAAGCCAATGGTGGGATTCCAGCTCTTGCGGAGCTCAGTCACGATCTTCATGTCTTCAGAGAGCTGACCGGATACCTTCTCAATGGGAGGGTAGAGGTCAGGTCCGAAGAGAGCAGTTTGAGTGGCAGTGGCCATTGTGAGTGCAGGGGAAGGAAAGAGGTAGAGTATTCGATGGATACAACGACTAGATTAATTTCTGGTGCTTGAGTACTTGTGAGAGTTTAATCTTGATGCTTGGATCGTAAAGAACAGTCAATGCGCCTCCTTATATACCTTTTCCTCGAGCTCTCCGGAGGCCAACTGATACCAATGACGTCTCAATGGCGAAAAGCGCTTTGACAATGAACCGATAATTACTTGCTGTACCGCGATAGAATAGGTATACACCATCGGCTAGAATACTTCGCAGAAAATATTGTGTTGGCTTGGAAGGGTGGTTGTCGCACGGCCCTGAGGGGACCCGACAGTATCCCATTGTGGCAACTTGAGTGAGTGTGGACTCCACCAAGGCATGCGGTACTAGTATGAGGTTAGTGTAGAAATCGCAACGAAAGTCTACGGGTGGAGGACAAAGCTGGCTGAGGGATTACGCTTTCATCTCTAGGTAACTAGGTCCGAGAGTTACAATGTTGATTGTTACTATATCCAGTTTTGTCTGAAAATCCCTACGAGTCTCATGATAATGTGCTTCAGCCTAGTCCTGTCCAGGAATGCTACTGTCTTTGTTTGCCTCGCACAGAGCTATCTGCCTTGGGCGTAGTGGCTGCTAAAGCTAGCGGAGAAATACGCTGCTTGGTTGAATGAGGGCCATATTGTGCTCGGTGATAGGCATACAGAAGCTGCATAGCCATATGCACAACATGGGATATTTGATGAAAGTACGGTGAATGAAGCAGTGTCAATTTAGACGGACATTTTCGCAGAGATGCAGTCGCATTACAGAGCTTTCCTTGAGAGGTTCTTTTACTTATTCTGGTAATTTCAAACAACAAATAGGACAGACCATGTTGGTGTCATGCGAATGTCAGGGAAACCTGCAGCAGCCCAACGGTACAGCAGGTCCAGGAGGGCTGTCATCCCACACGAGAAAGGTACTAGGGGGCTCTCTATCAAGTTCCCATGAATCATAAAGTTAGCGCCTGATGTAATTTTCTACTCTACGGAGAATAATTGGATTAAAGGGCACAAAGGATCTTTCCTGAAGCTCTTGTGCCTTTGATTGAACCTTGAAATTCTCTATTAGGCTTGGGAATCACAGAGGGGCTAGTGGAAGTGGGTCTTGAACATGGGATTCATCTGTCGACTGAAATCCACAATTCCAATGACAGATTTTATTGGCACATAGCTTTTTTCGGCTCTCAGGAGCTGTAAGGTATCGATTGGAGTGCTAGGTGATTTTACATGCAATGGAGAACCTTCAGTGCTCAGAGTCGTACCAGACCGATATCTTCGCTGCTCTGTCTATAATCAGGTCGCCTGAATCAGGACACTTTAGGGTATACAGACAGACATGAATCAGAATGAGCGCTACACGGGGTGTAAGGGAAACCTTGGTTGGGGGCTATAGTCACGCGCACCACTACCAAGTGGCCTTTGCTAATGTCAACCATGGTATGCAGTAATCCTTTCTATTTCAGGGAATCTGTAATGAACATATCCCGAGATGTGTCAATAGAGTCCCATTCCATTACGCTCATGATTCAGGTTTCATCGAGTATACAGCATATAGTAGGGATTTTCCATGTCATGTTGGCCGAGGAACTGCACAATCGGTGTCTGGATTCAGGTTATTCACGTCGCAACAGCATGTAGTCTGCAGTATAGATGCAACAGACCCAGTTGCCCTTACATGCTTCCGTATTCACCCGTTGACGCACCACATGTTTATCCAGCATTTTGCGTCTAGAGCCTGTTTCTGCATCCTGTCGGGCTGTATCCTGGCCAATGATTTGTGTGATAAACATCCGTCTTCCAACGGTCGTCTTGCAACCGGCCAAATCCCGAGGGCATGTACTTCTGTCTTGCAGCATGCATCAAAGCGTCCCAATAGCCCTCACTCTCGCTGCGAAAGTGCGGATCATCACATTGCGGTGAAGAATTACGAGGTAGATTATCAGCTTGAGATACAGGTAGCTCCCAGTCCTTCTCGAGCTAGGTAGAAACTCCAAGTGCACGAAAGACCCACTTCCCCCATCAACTTCACAGATCGTCATACGGACAATCTCCCTTTGCTTATCGGTGGAGACCAGTGCAGTCCGTGTGTTTAGAACAACTCTATTTTACGGGGAAGATAGGTACTTGGTTTTGCCATAGGATTGACGAGGAACTCTTATTAGGAGTGGATACTGAGAACTCGTCATTGTTTTATTGAGAGGTCTTTGCTTACTGATTGAATCTCCATAACGTTAAGAACTTTATGCTCCACCTGTCAAGAGATGGAACGGCCGCGCTTGGACTCAGGAGGGGCATCCGGCGCGCCTTGCGGAGATAATATCCGCCCAAGATGCGATTGGCGTTGAGTTGCCCCTTATTTCATCCCCGGTTCTGTGGTCCTGACGGAATGCAGCCACCAGGGGGTACGATCGCATGCAGATCCGCTTGAAAGGATCATGTTTGATTAGGACGACATCTATCCCGTATTCCACGTCACGGGGTCAGTGGGTTTGGTTTCCTTGATATTGTCAAAGTAGGGCTCGGCGGCAAGGCTCGAGGTTGTGTCGGGTATGCCTTGTCGCACCCTGGCTCGTTCCAAGAACCAGAAGTTGTGATAAGAAAGCGAGAGGAGGCAAGCAAATGGTTCCAATGGTTTGAATCACTCTTGAGCTGTACGAATACAATTAGTTGACGTCACATGGACCACGTAGTCCTCTTCCCCTCATCCATATACTACGGGCTATCGGCTGCGCAAGGAGTAGAAGTAAGGCGGACAACTGGTATGTTTGTACTGCTCTGCCTATCTGTGGATATCTACTTTCGGCTAAACAAGCAAGTAATATACGCATAATATGCCGTAAGAGATAATTACTCTGTAGTGTCATATGCAAGCAGCCAGGGATCCAAGGAAACACTGAAACAGAAGTGGTTGGTAGAAAAACCAGGGAAACCAGAAAACATCGCAGAACATCGCGCTGTATACATCACATTGCGTCGCATCGCATCAACAGTTCCTCCATGGCCAAAGTTCAAGATGATAGTGTGCACGGATCACTTCGGTACCGGAAAGCTGGACTGCGTGGGTTTGGTAGTGAAGATCCGAGTCTTCCCAAACCATCAAAGATCAGCACTTCCACTTGGGGACGATCACAGGGAAGGGCGCCAATAAGGGCTCACCAGTCAGGCGTCTCTTGTGGAATGTGCTGAGCGGCTGATCCCTTGGCGCATACGTCTTCTGCCCATGGGCGCATCCTGGACCATGTCTTCAACCGCCGAATTGCTCTGGAATATACGACCGATGGCAGCCAGACCCACCAGGAGGGTAAGCGGCAAGATGGTGATCGTGCAAAGAGATGGCTCGCCTGAAGCGGCACATGAGGCCAGACACACCGTGCTGGCCAAAACTGCCGAGAAGCTCATGAGGAGATGGCTGTGCTAGTGTAAAGTGAAGTACCCACGTTTGATAGATGCGGCAGGGGAATAGAAGCTCAGAATCTCGGTTGATCGAATCTATGGTTGTACTCACGGAGGCGAAGGGTAAAGGATGAGGTCAGATTTATAATTAATTTCGTTGCAAATGATGAGATGGATTTTATAGTCAGTTTATCTTCTCCATCGATCATGTTCGACGTCAGATTATATGCAAGCGAGTAAAAAAGCAGTAAAGTTAAAATTGCAGCAACGTCCTTTTGGAGCCATTGTTCGTACTTTATTACAGCCTGTTTCGGAACAAAGTTCGGTTGGTGCATTAGACATGCCTTAACGGGATGATTTTCATACTTAGTGCCTCTGATTAAGGAAGAGTTTCCTGAATCTACAATGCAAAAATCGATGACAAATGACAGTCCCACGAGGCACCGCCTGCATTGGCCTCTGCAGGGCTGGGAAGGCGGAAGATAGCAAGATGCATGGATGAAGCATATCACTCTCTCAGTGGCTACTTATCCACCACGGGGGACTCTTACTGCCAGGACATGGACTCAATCAAGCTGCCCTGTTCAAATGTATGGCTGATAAATCCCCAAGTTACTGCAGCCTAAGATGCCCCGTTTGCGAATTGCGAAGTTTCTTGTCGCCGGAGAAATAAAGAAGGTTTCCGGTGAGTTGGGACTCGGATGGGCGATTAGTATGCGGGCGTGGCAAGCGTTTGGCAGGTACTTTCATGCCTCCGTCTCCTTTAACTTGTTTTCTTAGTTTTCTATTTCTTTGCAGAACCGATGATCTTTTGTACATGCCTGGATCCCCCGTGAAATCATGCTGCGTCAATTATCCACGTGCCCTGTCGGTGGCAATGCCATGACAGGCCAACAACAAGGAATCTTCGAGATATTGAGAAAAGCAAGGATCAGACGCCGGTGGATTCTAGAGCATGATACGAGCGCCTTATTCAGTCAATGTGCACGTCCATAATCATGGTCTGGAATACGGAGTGGTGCGGAGGTTGTATCAGGGGATAATGGGGAAGTTCATTGGTAGCTTTCCGTGTTGATGCCCAAACTCTAAACAATTACAACGGCGTGCCAATCGGCACGATTCAACCTAAGACGCGTGCTCGTGTAATTATATACCAATCAGGCAATACTTCAAACAGCGCTCAATCTGGAAATACCTGATGTCTTCGGTGTGGGAAATGAAACGAGCAGTATGACAGTGTACCTGAAAGTTTCTTTCGTCTATTGTAAGTTCTATCAAATGCAAATGTCTATATCGAGAGTCTAAGGAGCTGGCCAGAAGAGAAATCTTCAGCAATTGCAGACCCTGCCACACGTCCTGATTTAGTCATATCCGTAGCACAGGTAACCTCCCTGGGTGTTCATCACCTCGGCGATAGTGACGTTGGGCATGATGTTGAATGAGGAGAGTTCGTAGTGAAGAGTAGCGTTCTGCCAGCCTCCAGCTGGCTCCACGTTGGCTGTGTGGTTCAGAGTTGGACCGCTGATGTCGTACAACCGGTTAATGGGATCCTGCTGCTGCCACTTCCACCAAACACGGTCAATGTACATGTGGTGCATGAAGAAGATCGGGTCGCCTGGGGAGGACTTGATGTCCGCCATCTGCACATTTCCTCAGTCAGTGTCCTGCATACGGCTCGGTTCGTACTAAGTAGTGTCACATACCACACCACCAATATAAGTGTGTACACCCTTGTGAGGGATGTTGGAGATGCAATTCCACCAAGGAGCATAGGTGTTATAAGCATTGCACTTCTCAAGTGCTGTGCTGTTGGCATTGGCAATGGCGTTCTTGGTGTCCCATGCGCGGCGCAAGCAGTAGTCCGTGTCTTCATCGCCCGGCCCAATGTGCAGAGTGAGATTGGAAAACCGGCCATCGCGTACACAGTAGTCTGATCCGGTTCCATTGCCACCAAAGGCATCCGCTCCCCACATTGATGATTGCCACATGTTGCCGCTGTCAGCGTCCTTTTGCTCGTCCCACCAACTAATAGCAGTATCTGTTAGTTTTGGTGTCCACTTAGATGCGCCAAAGGTGAGTAATATGGGAATACGTACGGCATAGGACCGCTGTAGCCACACTCATTACGAAGCAGGGCCTCATAGATGTGCATGTAGTAGCGGTGCCAGGGGAGGAATTGTCCCTAGCAAGGCTGTTAATGAGAGGATAGGCATATCATCAGCTCTTGAGATTGACCTACCACATGGTGGATAATATCCGCATACGCCGTGTTGGTCATTCCTCGGTGAAGGGCCTGAAGGTCACTAAACCGACTCGTAGTTGCGGTCAATCCGGATTGGGCCGGCTTGTTCATCAAGCATTGAACGGAGTCTAGGAAACTGTTCTGCTCGTGCGTGGTCAAGTGACGCCATTCCTTGCGGACAGTCATCTTTTCGCGAGTACAGCTTCGACTGAAGAATCCAGGGATATCATGAGAAGTGGTCTCACTCTGGTCAGTATTAGCAGATGAATGAGGGACTGCAGCAGCAGAGGTAGTGGCTGCCAGCGCCAATGCCACCGCGAACGACGAAAACTTCATCCTGTGAAGCAGAGAAGGGAAGACGCTTATAAATTGTTTATAATATGGAATCAAGAAATATAAAGAGAAAAAAAGGAGAGATGAATGACTGTCAAAGGTAGGCTGGATATTCGAAAGAAAAGAAAGAGAGACTGAAGTACAATGTAAAGAATGAAGACCTCAAGACCTCAGCAGTAACCTATGCCTTTTATACCTCTCACTGTTCGAAACGATGAGCCCAACTCACATCACAGGAGCCTTCAAAATAATTCTTACAACCACGGATCGGCACTGGAAAGTATCAATCGGGAAAGGTCCGGAGGCTTTCTTCTATAAGGCTGGAAAGCCGGTGACATGGGCATGGAGGAGCGGATTACGAACGGTCCACATCAGTGATAGAAGCGGATTGTATTCCAGGAGGCCAAGGTTTCAGCCACACTCAGAAAAAGTCATGCTGGATCCCCCTTGAACAGACGTTTAGCGTCTTTCAGCGACAACGAAGGGCCGAGGTCGTTGCCGCAGGCACACGATCCCGGACACTATATGATAGGGGCACCGATACAGGATGGTCGGTCAGATGAACGTGTAACACAATCGTTGGTCTCAGGTATACTCTGCGGACAGCTTGGAATGAAGTATAGGAGAAGACACTTCTATAATTGGAGACATTAATGAGCCACAAGTATTGCGCAGCGATGGTTCGTGGATCTCCTTCCGGGTTGTAGAGAAGGCACCTCAGGTGGACCAAATGCCGGTGAAGCGATTGTGTCCAGTAGCAGTCAAACGCGCAGTTCTCTCCCACAGCTACTGAGAGCCTGGAATTTTCCTGCACATGGGAATAGCTTCAACAAAGTCAGCCATGCGTAAGGCGCCCCGTCGGGAATACGTAGGGCAGGGCTTGGCGCGCCCCAGGCGAGGGTCTTGACGCGCGTCGGTACTGAACCAGTCAAGCAAGCTTCGCTGAGATCCGACTTGCCGAAAAGCTAGAAAAAGCTAATCGCCGGTAGAGACATAGAGAGTAGATACAGGGGTGGATCAGTCAAGGGCCCATCAACTGGTCACTGTCAGTGTCAAGCGGCTGATTATCTCGATTCTTGATGGCAGCCGACCAATTTGCCAACCCACCCTTACCTGCCGCTAGAAAACGGCAGGGATTGACCAGAAAAGTCTGCAGTGCTCTGACTTTCTTTTTTTTTTTTTTTTTTCCTCCCTTGTCTAGTCCTGACTCGAGCAAAGAACGAAAGATGCTTGTAGCGTGTGTATCCAAAAGGAGGAGGACTGCGTGGCAGCAATCTCTGCAGCGGAGAGTGGACTGCTGATGGGCCGCGCTCTCGATGCTGGGGCTCCGCCGAACAAAAACTTCTCATCATTGATGAAGCCATGATCTTATCTTGAGAACTCCTCCAATTTTAGACTCACGAATATGAAAGATGTTTATGTCAGCGGCTTCAATGCGCCAATCGCATCTCTTGCTTCAGAGATGGGGTTCTCTGTAGACCAGACCAAAAAGTCAGTGTGGGTCGTATATCCATACTATCGATGACCTAGGACCAACATGGTGGGGTACAGGTGAAACCTTCGCTTCTGCAGAAATGCAAATACACATGGAGGCGATGGGGAAAGGGAGTGAGGGCATAGGGCGTAACAGAAGGTCCAGCAGACTGGCTTTGCACCACCCTGAGAGTAGATTTCGTTAGAGTTGCTGGATGGTGAGTAGTCACTCAGTCTTTGCCTCACGTATGAGAGAGAAGGTTTGGGGACAGATTACCATCCTCTCGGTTTCTTTATGCCCTTCGAAGTGATTGGTATGTGCGAGGTCTTCAGCATGAGGCGTATAAGCTTCTCTTGGCACAAAAGACGCGGCCTCGAGCCACGCGAAATTTATGCGGGCCATCTAAGCACGTTGTAAGCCGGCTGTTTGAAAATTGCAATCTGATCCACCCGAATACGAGAAGGCCTGTGACCTGTCTGCTGTCGTTCCACATGATCGAAAAGGAAGTGCGTTGGGAGGTTCTCATGTCCTACCCCTGAGAGGGCGAGTCCGTGGGTACTACTTCTTATCAAGATGCTTCAGACTTCTAAAAGGAATGAAGAGCAGCGTCGGTTAGATCTCGAGAAATGGGAGTAGGTTTTGCGTTACCTCATCACTCTCCTGAAAGTCCTCTCCTGAAAGTTCCCTTAGGAGATGGCGTGTCTAGCCTTTCTGTATTTCGTGCTCTATCCGTTATGATGTTGGTGTTCATCTTTCAGGCTTCGGAGCCTTTCCCCGTATCAGTGATGAAACTGTGAATAGGTCTTAGGCAAGAGGCTCGGTGAAATGGTAGCCATTAACTACGGCTTCAGCATGATCAGTCTCTGGGCATGCAAAGCGGACAGTGACATTCAACTAAATACAGTCAGCACGTCGACAGCAAAAATAAACGAGCCTTTGCCGAAAAGTTCACATGATTTATAACAAGTCTCTCTACATGTCATTGTCTTGAACTGACATGATCTTCTTTGTCAGACACCCACCAGCTGCACAATTCTCGATTGCCTTCCGGGACTGGTCCTTGTGACTGCAAATTTCTCGATAGTTGAAACTTCAACAAACAGCGCCGTGTGTCTCGCTGGCATGGACTGCTTGTACCTAGATGTGAACGGTAGTCGCCAGACCGGCGAGCTGCCAGCCTCTTCTAGCAACGATCGACATCGGGTCGATCTTCGGTACCTGCGACTTCAATCTATACCTGCCATTGTTCATCAAGGACCTTGTGGGTCGATCTGGTGCCTATCCTGCTAATGCCGCTCATGTTAGGATCTCCAAAACAGTATGAAATATACATTCCAATCGAACCTGATCTGCGGCAACTCCACATAACTCAGCGATCTTCCCGCATGCTCTGGGCAGTTCAAACTGGTATATCCTCTTGGCCGTCCCTCCCACCGCGAGGATGAGCTAGATGGAATGGCCCTTTCTGGGTGCTAAGAATATACGATGCTCGTTCATGTGTTCAGTCAATTCACCTGATATGGTCTAGTCACAACATATTCATCTGATTCTTGTCTATGGGTACATATCTAGCCAAGAGAACTTCGGACGCGAAGTTACCAAGTATTGCAGACGGCGCTCCCAGTCGCGCGCGTCAAGTCCCCCTCAACAACCAAGGATCATCGTCATTTCAGACTCGCCAAGGCTCTATAGTCACAATAGCATGATCATACCGGGAGATTAATGGTACACCTGTGATCTCGTCCAACGGAGCTGGTTCCCACGCGTGCGGACATCTCTTCCCCATTTGGACAGATACCCGCTTCGCCGTTGTCATTGATCCCCGAACTCTCCGGTCCTGGAACCATATGGCTTCTGCAGTGGAAGTGTTAAAACACCCGGACAACGGTAGCGATGATAAGGGATGCATCATGACGAAGCAGCGACATGCATCCTACAAAGCGGGGCTGAAGTAGTTGGCGCCGGGGATGAAGTGGATATCCCGACGGACTCCGGCCCGTTTGCCTTCTGGCCACGCCTGACCCCTCATGCCGGCAGTTATGCCTCTTCAGGGGGTGATCTTCAGTCTTCTCATACATCTTCACATTGAGGCAGACTTGGGGGTAGAATTGGTAACATTTTTTGGCAGATGGGCGGCTATATTCTGTCTCCCCTGAATATCCAGTATTTGACATCCAAGTCCCAGGTTTCTACAGCGGGCGGAAACCCGCTCTTCGCGATACAGGTTCTGCATTGCTTGCTATTGCCGAGGAGAAGATGCATGATGTGAAGGTTAATTAAATTGATTTCTCCGGAGTTTACAGGCTCGGTAAGGCACGAGCCACTCAATCACCCCCATTCTTCATCCTAAATGAAGTTTATCTGCCACACACGGGACGATCTCCAAGGAACCAATGGACTGTTCCTCTTGTTATCATCACGCCATGACCACACGTCGTCATCGTTGGGGATGGTAATCTGATGGACATTCCGCTTGAGGCAAAGTGCGCCCCAATGTCACGCGGTTAGCTGGTCTTCTGCAGGTCTACGTGGGACGAGAGAGCTCGAGAGCCGATACCATCAAGTTGAATGTTCTCTACCGCTTCGATACCAGCATGATCGTCACTTTGCTGTCGCTATCAAGGTTGTGAAGTGAATGCTGTTCGTTCACATATGGGAACCACAGATCTATACCTGGTGCTTAAAAAGACATTCCGTGATCCTTCCGTTACCAAGAATGCTTGTAACTTTGAAGCTTTTTCCCAAGACCCTCCGCATCGCCAGTCCCGAACTAAGCGAAATGAGCTTTTCCTCAATGCTGCAGACAGGAGACACCATCGCTTTGGCGCCTTGGCACCATCAGCCACCGTCGGTCCTATCACCATCGCTCTGGTCGATAGGCGAATGCGTCAATTTCGTATCCGGGTAGTGTTATCTGCTCGATATTGCACTGGCAGAGCAAGAATCGGAATTGGCGGATAAAGAGGAAATCGAGCTTCAGGGAGGGCGGAGAGGGGACACTGAAGGGGTATATAATCGAGGTCAATTCCCTACCAGACAGTTCTCATCCAGCAGCATCTCCAAACAGCTCCCATTCAGACTCCAAGCATCTCCCAGTCTCTCTTCAAATCATTACCTCTCAAACATTTGTTTATCAAGATGAAGACCACTGCTCTCTTGACCGCTGGCCTGCTGGCCACCTCTACTATGGCCGCTCCTCTGACGGCCAAGCGCCAGGCTGCTCGGGCCAAGCGCTCCACGAACCGCCAGAGCAACCCGCCCTTCAAGCCTGGCACCAACGAGGTCCTTACCCTCAATGGCACCAAGAATGTCGAGTACAGCTCCAACTGGGCTGGTGCCGTCCTGATTGGCACTGGCTACACTGCCGTGACCGCCGAGTTCGTCGTGCCAACCCCCTCGGTGCCCTCTGGTGGCTCGAGCCGCGAGGAATACTGTGCCTCCGCCTGGGTGGGCATTGACGGTGACACCTGTGACACCGCTATCCTCCAGACCGGTGTGGACTTCTGTGTCCAGGGCAGTGAGGTGAGCTTCGATGCCTGGTACGAGTGGTACCCCGACTACGCCTACGACTTCAGCGACATCTCCATCTCGGCCGGTGATACTATCAAGGTCACCGTCGATGCCAGCAGCGACACCACTGGTACCGCCACGATTGAGAATGTGAGCACCGGTACCACGGTCACCCACAGCTTCACTGGGGGTGTTGATGGCGACCTGTGTGAGTACAACGCCGAGTGGATCGTCGAGGACTTCGAAGAGGATGACTCCCTGGTTCCCTTTGCCGACTTTGGCACCGTGACTTTCACCAGCTGCTCCGCTACCAAGGATGGCTCGTCCGTTGGTCCTGAGGATGCCACCATCATCGACATCGAGCAGAGCGAGGTTCTGACCTCCGTTTCCGTCACCGATAGCGAGGTCGTTGTCAAGTACGTCTAAGACGGTGGAGGTGTGAGGCTTGGGATTGTTGAAGCTTCGATGGATGTATTCCGAAGGCAATGGTGAGATGAGTGACGGAAAGGAGGGGTTGGTCTTTTGGCCTGGGGCTACCCCTTTGTTGATACTTCTGAAAAGCAAGTGTTGCAACTGTTTGTCTCTTATTGTATATGATGTTATAGTTTGCCTTGATTTTATTTAATGGAACCAACGTTGGGACTACTGGATTCCCTTAGCGCGATTAGGAGGTGACGTGCGCCCCTGAAAGATTACGCATCCCTGCGAACGGACTAACAGTCCCGATATGTTAACGAACAGTAAATCATATGGTAAATCAGGACTCAAGACACTGGACTTCAGTCATATACCCCTTTACTGTATAAAGTTCACCGATGTGCTTGAGCATTTACAATGAATTTAGAACACATATATGGTACATTTTGATGCTATCACTAGCACTCATTCGAGCTGTCCATGGAGGCCAGTCGGATACCTTACACGCCGAATCTGAACTCGCGCACCTTCTTCTGATAGTAGAAAGATGCCAACAGACCCGTCGCACCCAAAGCCATGGGAATAGGAGCCTTAGCGCGGGTCTTAATCGTCCGCATGAGACCAGAGACGAGGAGGACCACACTGTTTCCCAGGGCCAATTCCGTGCCGTAGTCCTTGTTCTCCTTGATCAGGTAACCTGACAATTCGAGATCAGTATGTGTTTCTTCTTATACCTGCATCATGTGGGTGCTATGTACCTGCGTAAGCGTAGGAGAGACCCAAGCCGACACCGGCGATCAGGGACGGAGCGGAACGCGTCCGCATGTAGCCGGCGATGCCACCCACCGGCACTGTTAGGTTGCCAATTGTTTAGTCCATGTCTGGTGAATCGATGCAGTTAGGAAGGTGTCAGCTTACGCAGGCAAGCCAGAGTGAAGGAGGGATGTTCAGCCATGATTTTGATGCTTGGATAATTCGAGGAGATGGATGGAGAAAATGACTCTAAAGTTGAACCTCTTGTCATGTTGGGGTCCTTCTCGGCATTCCGGATGCTCGGAGGGCGAGAGGTCCGAGCACGAGCAGCCAATCAGATGCGGTAGTAATGCTTGACACAAGCTGGCATATATATTATATAAGTAGTTATGATTCTGTGCTGTTCTGAGTATTTCTTGGAAATTTGATGAAATCTGTCTACTTTCAGTGTGGATTAAAAGAAATCGTGTCAAGCATCTCTGCTAGCGACCTCTTACCGAGGTTTAAAAAAAATATATATATATCATATATATATTGAGATATAGTACTAGCCACTACTACTATATGTAATTGACGAGGTACACTGAATTCTCATTATCAGTACTACTAACTAAGGGAGATAAACATATTACATTTCCATAAAGGAGAAACTACTTCTATTGATCAAGGATGTGCCTCAATTAAAAAGATAGTAGTAGACCAAAGCACGTGACACAGACGTTTGTCAAAGAGGGAGTTTATCTCTCCGCCTGCCCAATCTAGGAAAAAAGGCATTACTCTCACCGCCCGGTCATGCTGGGTGCCTGGGGCTCTTGCGAGTTATAGTGTGTGTCATCTCATCCATCTGCTGACTTGATATACAGACAGCATTCCGAGCCCTCACCCTTCAAACCCCCTTGTCATATAACCTCCCGCCCGAAGCCAGATCCAGCGCCACTGCCTCTTGCAATCCCAACACATTGAATATATCCCGCGGACTCCTCCCCGCTCGCACCGCCTGCGTGCCGGTTTGCTTCAATTGTTGTACCGCTCCGCGAACCGCCGAGTAGACTGCCCCCAATGCCAATCCAGGGAAGATGATCAGCCGAAATCCGAGCTCCTGCGCCTGTTGAACCGAGAGATCTGGCGACACACCCCCGGGAACATTGTTGAAGAGAACGGGGGTGGGCTTGAGCTCTTCACAGACCTGTCGAGCTTGATCCGTGGACGTGATGCCTTCCAGGAAGGCTACGTCTGCCCCGAGGGCGATGGCTCCCTTGAGTCGGGAAATGGCGGCATCATATCCCAGTGACTGGAGGGCATCCGTCCGGGCAATCAGAACAATATCACCGTGGGACCGGGCGCGAGCATTCACGGCGGCTTGGATGCGGTCCAGATATTCGTCCTCGGGGACGAGTTGCTTGTTGCGCAAATGACCACAGCGTTTACTCGTCGGCTGGTCTTCCAGGTGCAGAGCGGCCACTCCAGCGCGGATGTATTCGGTGACGGTGCGGTGGACCATGAGAGATCCTAGTATGCCTGGTCAGCCACTGAATCTTGTCATTGGTGGCGGAACAGTACCTCCGAAGCCCGTGTCAGCGTCAGCAATCAGCGGAACTGTCGGGTCCAAATTGGCGATCATCTCTGCATTCCCCCGCATTTCGTTCAATGTGACGACCCCCAGGTCCGGCTGTCCCAGTCGCGAGGCCGTCGTGCCTGCTCCTGTCTGACAAACAGGGTCAGTTACAGAGGTAGAACCCCCGACCAGCACTGATTGGTGTAGTACCTACCATGTACAATGCATCGAACCCCTCCTGGAGGGCGATTCGGGCAGTAAAGCCATCGTAGACCCCCGGACAGACGATAATCTTGCTCTCGTCCGCCAAGAGCTGGCGAAGCTTGGTAACCGCAGAAGCAATGGCCATTGTAATGTGTGCAGTGAATCTATGGAGGCGTAGTTAAGCGCAATTGAGGGGGTTCAGCAGCAGCAGCAGCAGCAGTGCTTGATGGTGCCATGTGATGATGTTATATCATACTTGTGAATCCTCCGGGCCGCAAGCGGGCCGAGTCCGGGAATGCCACGATCCCCCATTTCATATATTAAGATGCTGTCCTCACAGCTTCCTCGAGGAACCCCGCTCAGAGATACTCGCTCATTAAGCCTCTCTAGCAATACAATATCATCATGGGTGACGCCAGCGAACCCAGGTCCCCTTCCCTACTGCAAGTACTGCAGCAAACCCGGAATGTCATCCTTTCGGAGACAGACAGTACGTCCGGGACATCAATGAAATTCACAGCAGTAGATTCACTAACGTGATGAAGCGTACGCATTGCCAACCATAGGGAATCTACTTAAACAGCTGGTGCGAGTAGTCGATGCACTTCGGGCGCAGGACTACCCTCGGGAAGCCAATGCCCTCACTGACGTCCTCGCGATAAGCCAACAACCCACGGAAATAGGAGGACTCGGTCTATCCGCAGCAGACAGTCTAACACCCGGGCAAGAAGCCGAAATTACATTCCTGGTCACAGCATGGCTCGAAGCTTTGAATTCGGCCGATCGCGCCAGGGCACCACCTGTTCCCCTCGCGGTCAGACCCCCCGGTCGACGTGGCATGACGCTGAGTGAGAAGATCTTTGCGCTGCACGATATTGATCGGAAGGGGTCCGTAGCACCTGGAGAATTGATCCGGGTGGACGTTGACTGGGTCATTGCTTCCGAGGCTTCATGGCAGGTACGTGTTCTCATTCGGCACAGACCTGCATATCCAGATGCTTACTGGAAGAATGATAGGGCATGGAACGAACTTATGAGCGTCTCGGGAAGCCTGGAATTTACCGGAATGACCGGTTCTGGCTTGCAGGTGATCATGTCGTGGACCCTCGTGTGAATGAAAACCCCAAAGTTAAGGCATTGATTGACGCCAGTGAGAGGGCTAAGCGCGTCTTCAAGATGACCGATTATCAGGGCATGAACGTAGGTCTATTTCAGAGTTGCAAGACTGCACAGCTTGTGCTTACGCGCTGTAGTATACTATCCTTCATACCGAGTTTTACCGCGAACGAGCCCAGCCAGGCATGGTGGTCGTGGGTTCCGATTCCCATACCTGCTCGTCTGGAGCATTAGGCTGTCTGGCCATTGGGTTGGGAGCAGCCGACGTGACTCTTCCGTTAGTGACGGGAGAGACGTGGTTCAAGGTCCCTGAATCGGTCAACATTCGTCTAGTCGGTGCTCCTAAACCCGGGATTGGTGGGAAGGACACTATCTTGTACATTCTGCAACAGCTGAAGCGGAACACTGTGGCCGCGGACCGGATCGTTGAGTTCACTGGACCAGGAGTTAAACATCTTTCTTGCGATGCTCGGTTTGCCATTAGCAACATGACAACAGTCCGTCTACCATCTCGTACAAAGGCCGAAGAAGTGCTAACGGTCATAGGAATTTGGCGGAATTACCGGTGTTTTCGTGCCCGATGAAATTACGGAAGAATTCATCCAGAAGCGACGCCTGCCCCGACACAAAAACACAAGCGTCTACTTCAAACCCGACGATGATGCCGAGTATGCCGAAACCCATGAGATAGACCTTGGCGAGGTCCGGTCGTTTCTGGCCAAGTACCCCAACCCTGACGACGTCGTTCCTGTCACCGAGCAGGAAGGAATGCATCTGGATGGGTGCTTTATTGGTGCTTGCACCACTGCCGAAGAGGATCTGATTCTCGGTGCTCTTGTGCTGGAACAAGGCTTCCAGCGTGGTATGAAGCCGGTTTCTCAGGGGAAGAGAAAGGTTGTTCCGGGCTCGGTACCTATCCTACACAGACTTCGTGAGGTAGGTCTTGCACAGATCTACGAAGATGCTGGATTTGAGATCGGCATACCGGGGTGCAGTTACTGCGTCGGCATGTCGGCCGACCAGGCTGGGCCGGGAGAAGTCTGGATCTCGTCGCAGAACCGCAACTTTGAGAACCGTATGGGCAAAGGTACGTTGAGAACACGTGGGCGAACATGGCGACATAAGACTAACTGCAAATACAAGGGTCCATCGGAAATCTTGCATCCGCTGCCACAGTTGCTGCTTCGTCGTTTGAGATGAAGCTGAAAGACCCGCATGAATTTCTCGAAACCATCGATTTGGATAGATGGCATACCCTCCGTGGCATTTCTGTGTCTGCAATAGACTCTACACAAGACCGTATTTCCTACGTGGAACCTAGTGGCTCTGCGACCGCAGAAACAAACAACGGGGGCCCGACAGATGTAAAGTCGTCAGAGGTGGATACTTCAGAGACAGCAGATAGCTCTTCGTCCGACGTGATGACAGGCAAAGTGCAGCGCCTAGGCGATTTCATCGATACTGATGCTGTATGCTGTTCCCTTCCTTCCAAAGCCCGTCATAGCAGCTAATAAATACCAGCTGGCTCCTGCCCAATTCCTTATCGGCATGTCAGACAATAAGATCGCAGGCGAGCACTGCCTCGAGCACACCCACCCCGAATTTCGCCAGCGTGTCAAAGACGGGTTCAATATTGTCGTGGCAGGCAAAGCATTTGGATGTGGATCGTCCCGTGAACAGGCGGTTATGGCACTCTTAGGTACGTCTGTTTTATATTCTTCATTGCCGATATCCTTCTAATCCCATATTACACAGGCTGCGGCGTGCAGTGTGTCATTGCCAAGTCATACTCGTTCATCTTCCAGCGTAACATGCCCAGTCTGGGTCTCTTGGGCATCACCCTGACTGACGAGGCATTTTACGACGTCGCTGAAGATGGTAACGAGATTTCCATCGATTTCAAGACCAAGGTGATAGACGTAGATGGGAAGCAGTTCAGGTTCCAATTGAGTCAGATGGAGCGGGAGCTCTTTCAGCATGGCGGTATCGCGTCGGCATTCCAAAAATTTGGAAACCGGCTTTTTGAGCAGATGACCAGACCGAAAAATCTGGGGAGTGCGAAGTCACTTGCGCTGCATGGGAGTGGGGAAAGTGCTGGTCCGCATGCAGGATTGCAGTGGTAGTAGCTTGTTATTGTGGAGACGGTCTTCTGTAAATAAGAAGTAGCTTTACTCTTGGGATATCCGTTATGCATGACAGCCGTGTGACGATAGGCAAAAGCAAGTTACTTAACGCCGTGGGTCAACACCCTCCAGGAGCAGTGAAGATTTCCCCGTCCAAGCTAAAAGGCAACAACGCAAGCAACTCTGCATCGACAACATCCTCCAGTGTCAATCCATTTGAATGAGCATCTTCCATACCCACCGGAAAATTAGTAGTAGCCTCCTTACCAGCCGAGCCTGTCTCCCGGGCGCTTAGTCCCCCGCGCTGCTCCATAGCCCTATTGTCGGTGAAGTGCCCGCGACTCGCAAGAGGTGTATTCGTCCCACTGCGAGGCTGTCCACCAAACTGTTCCCTCCACATCCACATGGAATCATGAACTAAACTGGCAGCCAAACGCGTTTTCAGCCTCAGGCCTGGGGGCTTGTCCCGCTGCCCGCGATGAATATTCTGAGCACTCCACAACTGGGTGAGAATCTTTGACATGCGTCCGGGGAGATCATTGTCCTCGATAGATATCCGACGGGTTAGGGCAATGGCAGAGTTGAATGAGCGTTTGCCGGTCTCTAGGTCTAGGTACGGGCCGAGGTTCGAATAGCTCAATTTGAGTATGAATATGGCTGCGAGAGAGATGATACGGAAATAGGACACGGGCCCGTAGGCCATGGCGTCGATGAGGGCTTCGAGTTGGTTGATAATTGCTATGGTGGAGATTGACATGCTGTATGCGCGGATGAGCCCGCGTTTACGCGTGTCGGAGTCGGATTCTTCGAGTAGGTAGAAGACGTAGAGTTGGAGACCGATGCCATTTAGAAGGACTTTGTTCTCCTCTGTGGGCCAGATTAGTAATGATGGGATGAGATAAATTGGCGTGTGTGACGGACCTGATATGTAGCTGGTCAAAGTAGATGCCAGCTCGGTGTATTCTCGCTCTAGTAGGGCCAGAAGGGAGATGAATTCCCCTGGACGAGGAAGATCCGTTGGGCCCTGTGAGTGGCTGGACATGAACTGACCTACCCGGGCCGAAAAACGTGATATGAGGAGTTGATGTTTGAGGGACGACGGGATCATAGCGCTGTCCCGGTCACAAAGCCGATCGATCATCCAGTCTGATGAGACCCATACTTGCCCGTCTATGGTTACGATTCTGTGAGGATAGTTGAGTCAGATAGCTACGACATAACATGGCTAAAGCAGAGTGTCACCTACGTCTGAGCGGTGATATAGCAGGTCGCCCATGTACGAGCTACTTCGGCCATCTCATCCGGCATCAAACGTTTTTTGGTTCGGGAGAAATCCTGGATGGCTTCTGGTCGATGCAGCCCGATGCGGAGGGAGATCGTCTGTGCGGTGGATAGGAGAATGGATGTAATATCGGAGGAAAGAGATGAAGTGGGAAATGGCCACAGACACACTAGGATGATAGCCTGCACGACATGCCAGGTGTGCGGGGGATTGGCGATGGTATCCCATAAGAGCTTCTTGACGGGAGCCGTGAGACTGACAAACAAGCCAGGTTCTTCCGTATATCGACGAGAGGCCAGCAGAATGATGGACCAGAATAACACTGCAGATCGAGCATAATATTGGTTCGGGGAGATGGTTGGATCCAACAAGGGTACGTAGGGATGATAGTGAGTGAAGAAGCTACCGGCATTAGCTTAAAGATAGGTAGCAGGCTGACCAATCTTACATGTTGAACAGAGCATTTACTTGAAACCCATGGAGGTGGACAAACTCTAGCGACCTGGATGAGGTTGGGGACGTCGTGTCGGTAAGTAAAGGCGACGGTTGACTAGGTGGCTGGGATGGCAAGGAATGTACGGGAGTTGTAGGTTCTACTGGCAAATGTGGCATTTGGGAAGCCACCAGATCCACTCGCGACGCTGAGGGTTCCTGAACGATGATAGAGGAGGCATCGGCATGGTACGATTCGCTGGGGGTGAGGAGAATGCCTTGGAGGGACTGTGGCGCGGCAGCGGGAGGATGAGTGGAGACGGATGAGCGCAGATGCTGAACTTCCTTCTCCAGTTCCTCTAGTCTCCTATATGGTATCAGAATGTGTGTATTGGAAGCGACGAAGTAGCCCTTTATGGCCAGTGAGGTATACTCTCGCCCGTTGACACGTTGATACGCCACATCAAGCCGGCATTCGTAGCCCAGCCGGCGACATCGGGAGCAGGGGATAGCACCACCTGTGGATACCTCACATCGAAGCTAGGCCATATCGTCAGCTACGAAGAAGAACAGAGGCGGGCTAGTATCATAACTGACCTTTGACTGGCGACATTGCCTGCAGGCAATCCGCTTACTGCGATGGCGCGGGAAAGGGGACTGGGGCGCGCGTTGGGGTGGCATGCTGAACGACTAGAAACCCATTCTCCGAAGAGTAAGCACCCAGGAAAACAATCCTGCAGCAGGTGACGTGAGAGGTAACTAGCTACGGAGTACAATGCTTAGGTCAACCCTTCCCAGGGGAGATAGAGCAAGAAGATGTGTACAGATAGTGAGTTAGTGAGATAGTGAGTTACTGTCAGCCTGGTCGGGCTTTGTTTTTCCCTCTTCTGGTTAATTCCGTTCGCGGGCCGAATATACCCAAACAGGGTTTAGTGCCATTATGGGCGGCCCGAGGGGTATCTGTCACCATCCCAATCGGGAAGCCCAGGGTTGTTGATTATTCCGGCAGCCTTGATTGGACTTTGACTTTGATTCGAGAGCATTTGCGTCGGACGTCAGACGGTTGCGCGACGGAGCAGAGTCGGCCATGCAGATGGGCATATCCGATTGGCTTGTTCTGCGTGATAAGGGTAGCCCGCGAGTGCCACAGCCGACTCCGTGCATCTTCGTCTGTATGAAAAAAGTACTACTATGTATGTGTACTGATGGATAAAGCATGGGTAAAGCATGGCGTCCCGTATAGCTTATTGTAACAGTTTGACATGATGGATATACTGGTAGCTGAAGGAGTCTGTATACTAACGACCACACCCTTCTGTACTCGGCAGATTACAAAACCCACGTAGACCTCGAGTCATGGTCAACACCCCGCCTGCATCGTACGATAGTGGAGTGAAAACTTTGAGTGGAAGGAAGAGGGTCCTTGTATGATGCTGGGTCATACATACGGCTTTACACTCCTATATGGTCATGCAGTCCTGACGTTAAGGATATGCGGTCAATGCTTAAACGCGCACACAAGCCGAACCCTACGCCGGAATCGTCTATTCAATGAACGGTGAATCGTTCGATGGATCTTCCCTGGTCTGATTCAGGGCCAGGCTGCCGCAGGGGTAAGTCCGCTTTCCTAGCTTGGTAGCAGCATAACCTCCGCGTCCAAATAGGTTAGACTAATGGCTCATCTACACCCACGACGCGTACTCAAACTGCGAACTACTACTATCTTAGATTGAACTTGGTAGGGAAATTACAACTGCCGAGAAGGCTGTCTCATTATGAAACATGGCGAAGCAGGCAGTCGTTCAACCATCTCCTTTGGGAACGGGACGCTTGCCTTGCCCAACAAGGTAATATCTGAATACGATCTGACTATCTAGAGATTTCATATCCTAAGCGAATGCGTTCCCTAGCCCATATTAGGACAAAATCAAGAGAGAGTGGGACGAAACGTAATCGTTAATTCTATCCGTGATGTAGTCGGCAAATATTCGGGGAATCCCCGCAACTCAGGGCCTTATGCCAAACCCGCCCGGGAAAGAGATCTGAGTGCGATGATGCCGTGCTTGTGGAGACGGGAAGCCGAACAGTCCCTGGACCCTATGCCATATGGCACAGTCCACATTAAGCATGAATCAACGCACATTCCATTTCCAGGCAAACCACGCCCAAAGCTACCAATATTGCATGTCTACACTCGAAATGGAACTGTCAAGACAGGGTGAAACGCGTCAGCAGAACTCTAGTTCTGAGACAACAATATGTGTGCCGTCCACCGTGCTTGAGGAAGCCTTCCACGGGCAATAGGTGGTGAGGCCGCGTAGAGAAGACTGGTACAGAGGTGCAGATGAAAAACTAAGCGGAAAAGTTGCGTTGCCCATGGATCGTCATGAACAGGACATGATTTTACCTCTCTTGTATGAAAACTTCCTTACATTGAATAGACAATGATCGTCGTGGTCTGAATCTATAAAGAACACGCCATGCCCCAGTTACAGCTGACAGTAAAACCAACTCCTTCACTAAGTCGTTCACTCGTTTTTCATTCGTTTAGTATTTGATACATTTTGAAAATGTTCACCAAATTGTCCCTCCTTTCGCTTCTTTTCAGCTCTGCTGCGCTGGGCGCCTCCAACCAGACTCTGTCCTATGGCAACATTGACAAGTCTGCCACCCCCGGCGCCAGAGCGCTCCTGAAGTACATTCAGCTTCAGTATGGATCGCACTATATATCCGGACAGCAGGATGTCGACAGCTGGAACTGGGTCGAGAAGAACATTGGTGTGGCCCCTGCCATCCTCGGCAGCGACTTCACCTACTACTCGCCTTCGGCTGTTGCCCACGGCGGCAAGTCTCACGCGGTCGAGGATGTAATCCAGCACGCCGGTCGCAATGGAATCAATGCCCTGGTTTGGCATTGGTATGCTCCCACCTGTCTGCTCGATACCGAGAAAGAGCCGTGGTACAAGGGATTCTACACCGAGGCCACCTGCTTCAACGTGTCTGAAGCCGTCAACGACCATGGCAACGGCACCAACTACAAGCTCCTGCTGCGTGATATCGACGCCATTGCTGCTCAGATCAAGCGCCTGGATCAGGCCAACGTGCCCATTCTCTTCCGCCCGCTCCACGAGCCCGAGGGTGGCTGGTTCTGGTGGGGTGCCCAGGGTCCTGCTCCCTTCAAGAAGCTGTGGGATATCCTCTACGACCGCATCACTCGCTACCACAACCTCCACAACTTGGTCTGGGTTTGCAACACTGCTGATCCGGCCTGGTATCCCGGAAACGACAAATGCGACATCGCCACCATCGATCACTATCCCGCCGTTGGTGACCACGGAGTCGCGGCCGACCAGTACAAGAAGCTCCAGACCCTGACCAAGAACGAAAGAGTTTTGGCTATGGCAGAAGTTGGCCCCATTCCGGACCCCGATATGCAGGCTCGTGAGAACGTCAATTGGGCTTACTGGATGGTTTGGTCCGGTGAGTTCATTGAGGATGGTAAGCAGAACCCTAACCAGTTCTTGCACAAGGTGTACAACGACACCCGGGTTGTGGCTCTGAACTGGGAGGGCGCTTAAGGGGACGTGGTAGATTACCATGGGGGGAGTCTAATTCTGAGGAGTGTTGAGCAAGTGGGAGAGAGGAAAGTTGTGGATATTACTAGGTTACTCCGGAAGTGGCCATCCTGGCAGTCAACAGTCACTCGAAGCGCCTCCTTAGCTAGTGTGTACTATCGCCATACAGAAATAAACAGTGTATTACATTGGATCTTTTCTCGTGTAACTGATTGTACTAACCATCCATTCCCGAAGACCTAAGGGGCCAACTGTTTTAATAAATTGGCCAAGCACTGATATCCGCTGTGGGCCAGAAAGACTGAAAGACGGCTTGAACGTCTTCTTCCTTTTTCATGGCGAATATGCCACCCACTTCCTGTACCGGGATCAACGTGCTATCTTCTCCATCCGCCAGGTCGCTTAAGTCACGCCTTGGCTTAACACACTTCTGGGCTCGTGGCCCTGTCAGAACATCTGGCTCAACTACCCACGTCGGGGACATCTGGTCTAGAAAGCCTTCCTCCTTAAACTTTTTACAGTATTCATGATAGTAGTATCTGGAATACTCTCCCAACTGGCCATACAAAGGGTGGATCGTCAGACGTTGTAGCCAATTCCCGTTTTGACCTTTCCAGACATACGAGAAGATCGCTTTGGCCAACGCTTCATCGATGGCACAGTTGATCAACAAATCACGCAGGTACCATCTGAGCCACCCATAACCTAGCACAAAACCATGCCAGATTTGAGCCATTTCGAAATCTGTCAACTCACGCGACGGGACCCGGTGGCCAAAAATATTCATCTCCGGATGGCAGTTGAGAACTAGTTCTAGCTCCTCCAGACATGTGAATTGCCCCGGGGTTATGTATACGGCCCCATCGAGGCCACGGCGGCGCTGAATACAGATTTGGAGATTCTTGAGCAATGGAAGCTGGCGGCTGAGTTCCAAAATATCATTGTCTGAGAAAATTGGACCAATTCCTTTGCCTAGGGAAAGCTCATACAGGTCTATCTCTTGCCTCTAAGGCGATGCCCGATGTAATTTCAGTTCGAGCAGTGCCGGTCTATGCTTGCGAAGTACCCCACCACGGGTGAGAAATGCGGGCGTAAATCCGCCTAGCAGGCAAAGAGATTTAAATGGGGGCAAGGATTCCAACATTGCCTCTGCATTGGACCAAAATGCGTACTCGTTCTCATACGGCTCGATCAAGGCAGGTTCAGGTAAGTAAGCTTCTTGAAAGGTTACATACTCGCCAGAGTCTGTAGCAGTATCGTATCCTTGATGCAGCTGTCCACGATCTCAGACATTGCAGATCCGTCAGTCCTTTTAAGCGCTGGAAGCCATGTGTGGTCACCTCCCTATTCAGCGGCCAGCACAAGGATTTGATTTGGGCGACTACTTGAGGTACGTTCTGACTTTTCTCAACAGGCCAGGGACCACAAGTACACGACTGCAATGAGACCCTCTGTACATGTGGTGCTCGGTGCAAAATACTCTGCAATAACTTATCCGTAGACTGTATGTCATCCAGTTCACTGTTTCCCCATGGATAATGACACACGGCATGCAGTAACGGTGAGCCATCCCAGGCCTTGCACGTGGATAGTGATGAGATAAAAAGGGAGACTCGGCAAGTTGGATGATGTCGTGAAATTGTCTCAGCCAGCTCAACCGTCCCAACCTCCTCATCAATGATATTAATCACACTGACGTTAGGCAATAGTGAAATTAGATTAAGAACCGGAGCCAGATTCTCTTCGTACCGAGGACATCGATGAATAAATCCCTTCTGATACCCCCTTGTTCCAGGGCATCACGAGTATCTAGGAAATTTTCATGCGGGGGTTCAATAAATCTCAAAATCATCATAAGACATTGTCGCTCCACACATGTGCAAAGTCTCTTTGGGTATATGGCAGACGGAGCAAGTAGGATCAATAATCCTCGATATCTAAGGGTGAGCAAGTAGGATCAATAATCCTCGATATCTAAGGGTATCAGAAGGTGGCGATATAAGACTGATCCTGCGATGCTGTTCCACATCTTACCAGCTCGAGACAATGCCATCAGGCTTCTTCGGGTTCTATCACATAAATGCGGGCTGCATCAGTGCCGTGGATCCAAAAGTTAGGTAAACGTAGTTACCAAAGTTGCAATGGCATGCTTGATCTCGGCTGGTATCTTATCCATCGTTGCTAAACACTTGAGCAAGACGGCTAATAGATGTATGGTATTGATGCTACTGGACGGCAAATTCGGGAGAGTAAAAGCCTGAAGGGCAGCTGGGCAGCTGTTATCTGTGAGACGTCACTATGCTGCCATCACTGCAAGGCATACAGTTCAAATTTTATGTTCTATTTTTGAAAGAATGTTTCTGCTGAGCGTTTCATTAGGCATAGTAGCGACCTTCGTCAGGTTGGAGAAATAAACTCTCCATTTGATACCGGATATGTGAGACCATTTAGGTACTGATGGTGGATTGTGCCAGAGAAGACGAGGGAATCCGTTTCCCAACGGCATACGTGGTCACATGACTCTACACGTCACTACTGTAGTCCAGTCCTTAGTCAACTTAATAGAGCACTTCCATTGCACAAAGTCCACTTCCTCTGGACCGGAATTATTTAGGATGAAAAGGCATGAGGTCATTGCAGACGCTTTTGTCTTCTTTAATTCTAGACTCTATTTGAGGTGTGCAGATGATGACCTCGCTTAATCATAATTTCCTGACATAAATAGTTAAATAACTATTGCGAAGCGGAAGAGAAAGCCCCCTCGGCTCCGCCCGGCGCGGTAGATCAGATGCTTGAGTAACCATTCCCAAATAAACTCTCAACACTCCATGCATCCTTCATATCTCAGTCTTAATCAGGATTTCAATGTAGTTGCAACCCAATGATGAGAGGCGGCGGAAAGAGAATGACGCACATGGCAGCATGGCCAGTCGGTGACTTCATCATGAGTAGTCAACTGCTCCTACGGCCTCTTAAGACCTACAACATACAAAAAATGCATGTATCTTTTTCACATTGCGGAGCTATACCCCCAGGTTACTCCAGTTGACCAGTTGACCAAAATGCAAGCTGTCAAGAACACCATTGCCGAAAACTTCGGCGGCCCGTCTCACAAACTCGCAGAAGAGAAGTTCGATCTAGATGATGTGCCCGACTTGAGCGGTAAAGTAGCGGTGGTCACAGGAGGTACAGAAGGTAACTTGCTTCATTGCATCCGAGCCCGCCAAATTCCCGCACGGCTGCAATCGCAAGTTAACCATAATATTTACAACAGGTATCGGCTTCGGCGTTACCCATACCCTTCTCTCCAAAAACATTTCCAAGCTTTTCGTGACTTCGCTCCGCAAGGAGATCGCCGATGATGCCCTCTCTGCCACTGAGGAGGAATTCGGTCCCGAGACACGCCACCGCTTCATCTGGATCCAATGTGACCTGTCGGACTGGGAGCAAACCGCTAAGGTGGCAGCTGAGATTGCGTCGCAGACGGACCGCATCGACATCCTTGTCAATAATGCCGGCCGGGGCGTCATGACACGCCAGCTAGCTCCCACCAACGGAATTGACTTGCACATGGCAGCGAACCACATGGGTCACGTCGTGCTGACCTCGCACCTGCTCCCAACGCTGAAGAAGACCGCTGACGCTGGAGGCACTGTTCGAATTGTTAATGTCTCCTCTAATGTAGAAGGAAGCACGCCCAAGGATACGGAGTTCGCGTCTGTGGAGGAGCTGAATCGCGAATATAGCCCCACAGAGCTGTATGGTCGGTCCAAACTGGCTGTCCTCCTATATGCTAAGTGGCTCAACGCCCACCTCCGACCCACACACCCCAATATCATTGTTAATGCAACTCATCCGGGGGTCGTCGATACGGCGCAGACAAATGTCCATATCCATGAGGCCCATCCCGTGCTCGGGTATGGCCTGTCCGCCGGCTTAAAACCGTTTCGGAAGACTCAGTTCCAGGGGGCCGTGTCCACCATGTATGCCGCGACCATGGCGACCGAGGGTGGACAGTTCATTAATCCACCACGAATAGTGGAAAGAGGCAGTGATAAGGCTAATAACATGGAGTTAGCGGACAGGCTGATGAAGTTAACAGCTGAGGTAGTGGAGAAGAAAACACGGCCGCACAGTAGCGCCAAGGGTTGTCCGTTTACCGAGGACTAGATTAGAGTCCAATAAAAAGCAATGATCATAAGGCATCCACGTGTTAGAGAGAAAGGGTCGCATCTCGAAATTAGGACATAACCTCCATGAAAACACATTTGGAGCAACATGTTGCTCCACATCTTGTCCTTAAGATTGTCTGACCCAATCAGGTCAATTTCTATTATTATTATTGTAATACTTATCTTTTCTCTCTCGTCTCTTTCCGTTCTACCATTCGCCAGGCCGGCCTGGATTCTTTCCATGAATAATCAATATAAGAAACTAGTCTAACACGGTCCAGAAGGAGTATCGTGCTTATTCGAATATTTACTAAAGGGTAAAGATGAAGCTGCCGGGGTCTAGGTAAATAATCTAAAGAGAGACATGCATCATTATTGCGTATATGAAACTGTTTCTTATCAACCCAGACACTGCGCAGCAAGTATCGAGAGATCAGTAGTCAGCTTAGGCGTCCCATATCGCTCCCAAGGAAGGGACTAGATGGGCCGGTAGTCGGCCTTACATATAAGAACGGCTATTTTTAGCTACGGAGTATCCAATCACATAAACGGAAATTTATCGAAAATAGATATAAAAAGCCTTTGCCTTGTCCTAATTTCATGATAATATCCTACCATACTTTTCTAACTACTATCATAAAAATATTGTTATTAAATCAAGCATTTCACAGCTTTAAATATGAGATTTAACCAACCCCTTCTAGCCATGTGTGGTATTATTACCTTGGCTGCATCCGCAACTACTTCGTTTCCTGCTAATTTTACTTTATTATCCACCCTTGATAACTCAGTACTTACCACAGATGGTTGGGGTATCTATGACAGCGCCCTAGAAACCATATTGACGTGTAAGCTTCTACTTGTTCCTCCTGTACCAACTACCTAAATGATGATTATAGTATCTCCCTATAAAGGCGGCACCATCGGATACGGGCCCTACGGTCAGGCGCTGGCTGTGCTAGCCGATGAGACCTCAGTTGCATGGATCATTCAACTTCAGGCAGAGCCTGAGGCTATCGACACGGTGACTGGGTGGGGAGTCTCGGATGATGGGTTCCTTATGCTGAACGGAGAGCAGCTGTGGGCATTTAATGAGAGCTCCGCGGAGCCAAGGAGGCTGTATTGGGCTGGTAAGGGGAATGAGCAGGGCATGGTCAGTACACAGCTATTGGTGCAAAGTGTGATGTGACTGAGACAGGGCTTGGTGCTTACTGCAATACTTGGAGGTATTCCACCCACTACTTGAATGCGCGAGTACTACCATGGGCATAGATGCTTCATAACAAAATCTTATACGTCACAATATATAAACGAGTAACGTTGAAGTAAAGAGACTATAATATAGAAGATGCTTATACAATTAGTCCTTTCACAGTGCTATATCACGCTTAGTCCACTGCGAGTGTGATGGCGAGCCGTTGTGATAGCCGATTGAATCTCATCTTACTCAAAGTTACTGGAGGAATACGGAGTTTTCCATCACCCATGTTTCTGGGATTGCTTCGCAACCCTACTTGTAACGACGGCATCTCTGCTTCCTTTGGAGTGGCAATAAACTGTTGGTACACTATGTCTGTCACAAGCATCTGATAACTTCGTGGTGAAATGTTGGGGTATGGACTCTGCATCTGCACCGAAGTGTTATAGAATTCTCAAGATGTAGGTGATTTTGGAGGATGAGGCGAATTAGTATGCAAAGGGTCTTGTTGACACTACGGTCAAAGAGGATGTGTGGACTGTCATCTCGGATTGATCCATGCCTTCAACTACTTAACACAGCAACGATAGCCATTCAGGATGGCTTTTTCCGTAACCTATTCTGTCATTTGAGGAATATTAAACTGCGCTCGCTGACAACCCTCATCAGTCTCGTTTGAATTCAAGCACTCTCATTTCATGGCTGGCTCCATCTGATCCGTATAATTGATAGCCCTGTACAAGCTGCTGAGTGCTCTCAATCTTTCTGACATAAGCTCAGGCGCGTGTTGATGGTCTGGTCGGGCAGAACAGTCATCGTGCTAGAGTATGCGCGGCCTCACTGTATTTTCACTGTTCAATCCATCGAGTTCCGCCATTGTATCACATATCCTGAGATGCTTGGTTCTACGCCAAATCTCAGTGATAGGTCCACGGAAATCAACCAGCGGGGAATGTTAAATGCCGTGGCCAATTTCCCGAGTTTCCGAACACGGCAATCAGTTTCGTACCCGACCATCCGAGATATTAACGATCGCTCGGGCTCGTCGGGTGGTAAGCTGAGGAAAGTGCCTCAGGATGTTTCCTGGACCACTATGATGCAGTTACATGAATTCGGACCTATCGGGCGAGCTGTGTGTCGATTTATAGCACTCATAATAAGCTGTGTGAGAGCCGCATTAACCTACCCTACCTGTTATCTCGTGAGTGACATGCATGTACCGCCTACTCTTTTCCCTCCAATTAGGCCTCGTGAACATACGAATAAGAGCAAGACAGACTCAAGTCATTTCAAGGCAGTGATATATGCAGTAGTACTGAGCGATGACCTTAGTAATTACCCGATGCCAGCCAGTAGAGGTAGTATAAATATTTACCTAACGCAGATCCATCGGTAAGACCACTAAGTAACAGTAGTTGCAGCCGCCTGACAGCCCAATACGAACATAAATATAAATAAACATATATCAAATTAAATATAAAGCAATATAGCAGAGAAATACAAATTATTACAGTGTCCGGCAGGCTGGCCCAAGTGTCAGTAATCCAAATCTACATCTTTGATGGCCTTGCTTTCTTTGGGGGCAAAGCTGAGAACATTCCGGCAATTTCTTTCCTGTGGTCGTCGGTCAACACGATTCCAAACACATCCGCCAACACCTCGATCCTCTCCTCCTCAGACTCCAAAAAGCTCTTCTCCAGCACCTTGCCACCGTGGAATCGTATGAGCATATTATGCCATAGCATAACCCAGCCCGCGGGGACCCCCTCCTCCAGCACGTACTGGAAAGCAGTCACACGGAACCGAAACCATACGCGTTTGTTTGTACCAACTGCCCGGGCACCGGCCTCGTAATCCGTGTCTAACCATTCGCACTCCTTAAATGCATATACGTCCATCCACGGCGCCGCCGTTGATTTCATGCTTTGGAACTGCAGTCGCCAGTATTTCAGATGATGCGCCCGGCCTTTGTTGATATTGTCGTAGATCAGCCGTCCCCGACGGCCCAGGCGCCCATCCACAAATTCATACCCATCACGCAGGGCAATCGGCTGGACAGGGCAGTTCGGACCGAAGCCCCCATCCACAAGGTAATCTTGTCCGTCAACGCGAACAATGAGAACCATGTGTTGCCAGTCACCGAACTGTGCACCCACTGGTCGGTTAGGATCGCCGGTGGTTGCAAGAGAGATACTAGCTGCTGCGTTCAGACGCGCTGCACTGTTGTAGAGCGTGTATCCGATGGAAAGCAGGACTTCGCTTAGGATCCTGACTACCTGGAAGCAGGTGCCACCTTGACGACGAAGTACAATCTTTTCGTATAGACCTTGAGGTTTAAGCTCAAAATACTGCTGGGGGGTGTAGTGCAGCACTGTATTCTCAAAGGGAACCCCTGCAACATGATGGCGCACAAGGCTGGTCAGAACCTCTAGGTCTTTATTCCTAGCGCTCAAGCGAGCCCGAGTGTCATGAGGAAGTTTGATGCGTTCGAAGTATTGATCTAGTTGGGCCGGTGTATATGACATTTTGGAGGAATGGGTTTTTAGGCTTTGAGATAAAAGGCGTGGTGTCTACCTAGGTATGTTCGACGAACTGGGTTATATAGAATTAGTCGGTCTCATGGACATTGACAAGATGTCCTCTAAGATCGACACCAATAACGAGGTAAGGCGGACGCTACTTGATTGTCGCATATGGAATTTGGATAATAAACGATTGGTGTAGAGCTGCATCGCCTGCAAGTCTAACGAACAACTACCAAATCTTACTCTGCCAACTCATCGATCTAGTGTTAACTACCGGAAATACGCTCATTAGCAATTGGAAGAGAAAAGGGAGAAGCAAAAGGAAAAAACCATATTGATAATTAGAAAGGGATGGAGGGAAGTTCTGAGCTTCGATTTCTTTTTCCTCAAGGATATCGACACGACGTGATTTTCTCTTTCCTCTATGAAAGTGCACTTCCTGCAACTCCTGTGATCCGCACGGAGTATCGGAGACGGTATTATAGTATCGACGGACTATTAGATATTGACGGACAGGGGGGTGGGTTTGACTTATATGACTTGGAACTAGTGGGGATAGTGTGGTGATAATAGAGGAGTCCATACAGTAAACTACACAGTATGTTTTAGCCACGAGATTGTCAGGCGCTAGCATCCTGTAGTGTAACCGGTGAGCTGAAAGACCTTTCTGGTAGAATTAGACTCACCGAGCCGCGGAGGAGTGCGTTTATCCGCGTCCATCAACGGAGTAAAGTAGGCCCGTTAATTCTGTTCGCGCACTCTGGTATTTATTCAGATCCTTATAATTGTTAGTCCGTAGCCGGATTATAGTGAGAATCCCTTAGCGGTCTTCATTGAATCAAGAGTTTTACCAAATGCAACAAGATGCGTTATGCCGATTGAACCTCCATCGGCTGACTCCAATCACCTTGCATGATCGTCCCTATCGTAACCAAGGGCTAGTAAGTCAACGCATACATACTGCATGAATTTCCTACTATCACACGTACCTAGCGAGCTACTCAAGCTTACTATCTCCATTGAGTGCGTCAGTAAGGTGTAATCAGCTTCGGTCACCGTTAATAGAAACTCCGACACGCATGCCATTGTCCAGCTGTGGTGGCTAGATGCCCTATTTAAGCATGACAATGGCAGGGAAGCCAATATGACCGACATTTTTCAAATTGAATGACAGCATAATGGCCCCTACCGTCTTGATTACAGGTGCAACAGGCTTCATTGGGTCTCGCGTTGCCCTTGAGGCTTTGCAGGCCGGATACCGCGCACGCCTGTCTATCCGACGCCCTGAACAAGCTGAGAAGTTGCGCCGCATATTCAGCCGCCATCTCAGTAATATTGACTTCGTCGTTGTGAGCGACATTACGGTCACCGGATGTTTTGATGAGGCAATTCAGGACGTGCAATATGTTATACACGTTGCATCACCACTTCCAGATCGAAACAGCGACCTTTTGATTCCTGCAATGCAGGGAACAACATCCATATTGGAGTCTGCTTGCAAAATTTCATCTATCAAGAAGGTTGTTGTCACATCTTCAATATCATCATTTATGCCCCTGGCTGGTCAACCGCACGGAACAGTAATCACCGGTGAGAAAGTTCTGCTTTGGTTCCAAATGGCGGACATCTACTGACCCCCCATAGAGGATACTGGAGTTCCCTACGATGCGAAGCAGGGCATCTCGCCTTTGCTCGACCCGATGGTACAATACCGCGCGAGTAAGGTAGCCTCCTATCAAGCGATTATCGACTTTGTACAACAGCGCAACCCACCGTTTGATGTGACAACATTTCATCCATCTTGGGTTTATGGTCGAAACCCGGTGCAAGAACCACATGATGATCCGAGTGGAAGTTGCGGAGCGCTGGTACTCACTCTTCTGTCGTCAGCAAAGCCCATCAATGGTCAGTTTCTGGGGGTTCATGTTGATGATGTCGCTGCGGCACACGTCAAGGCATTGGGTGATTCCACACGAGGCTTCCAGTCCTTCTTACTCTCTGCTCCACGCCAGTCATGGAAGGAGGTGAATGAGTTCGTCCGACAACAATACCCCTCCGTTGCCTGGAAGTTGATTCCAGAGGACTGGATGAACTACGCGGTGGACTCGAGTAGAGCTGAGAAAGAGCTCGGTCTTAAATTCAAGCCAATGGAGGATCAAGTGAGAGACACCGTTGATCAGCAGTTGGAGTTTGGGAAGTTGCCGGTTCAATCTGTTCTGTAATTATAAAGCAAATTGTATGAGACAGTAATATCATCCAAAATGCCATTTTTGAAAACTATATATGCTGTGGACTGGGGAACTACTCTCTCCCGCTACTTCGGGTACACATAGGCACCACCAAGCACTGCCTTGGAGTCTCCATCCCTCCTTCGAAAGCAAGGCGGGACGCCCTTTTGCTGAGTTGGTGAGATCCGTGTGACCGGGAGTTGCTCAGTGGCAATACCGTAATTATTGACCTTGAGGTTCTGGTTGAAATAGTCTTTTCCCTACTCTTGGTACTTGACAATGGGCCTTCGCACAATAATGGAGATAGAGTAAATAGGAGGCAAGCCTGCTGTTTTTAGATATCGGTGAGACGAGGGTATTAAATGGACCTGCAATTCACTCCGTTCTTTTGTCTTATATGGGATCTCTCCCTAGCAGGTGGCCATTCGATTTATGACACTCCGCCGCCACACGGGCAAGGACTGTGCTGTAAGGGGTGTCCTCGTAAACAGGCATTACGGTATAGCTGAACATCACTATCTGTAGCGATTTGAGAATACGGCAATCTTCCCCTACAGCAAATTTTGAGTGATGCCAAAAAGAATATAAGTGCGCTAACGGAAGTACGTGAAGTCCATTCAAGCTCTATAACTGTCTCAGACTTATTTCGTTAAAAGCGTCGATCCGAGACGGAGATGCAGCAGCGAGGCCATTATTAACAATATATCGTGTATGTGCCTACCGTACATGACACACCAAAAACTTCTATCAGTTGTGCGCCTCTTCATGGCGTCCCATGTAGACCCAGACGAGTTGCAGAGGTAGGAGATACGAACTTCATCCATAATTGCTTTTCGGATGCCCTGATTTTCGGACTATATGGATCTAAGGGACGGGCTAGTTGGCACTTGATCGAATGACCAAATTTTGGGCATATCTTTGCGAGACACAAACGTGCAAGGCACCACCATCATACCATAAATAGATACCGGGAGACTGGCTTCGGCTGCTTCAATTATTCTTGCTGCTCCAATTAGTTTGTCCGATGCCGATTCTAAATCAAGGGTCCGATTACAACTGAAGTAACCCGGGGCGGTACCAACATCTACATATTTTAACGCGGAGCGCATCCCTATCAAGTTCAGGCGAGACAAAAAAACAGTACAATCGAAAGAAAGAATTAAAGCAAGTCAGCAACGATGTCCAGCGGAGTCCTGAGCCGACCTGGTGTATCCATCTACTACGAAATCCGCGGTTCCGGTCCACCGCTTCTCATCATCCCAGCGGCCCATGGAACGCACCTAACCCACGAAGACCTCGCCTTGCGGCTATCGTCCCAATATACTGTTATCGGCTTCGATCGGCGAGGCTCCCTCCGCAGTCGCTTTCTCTCTCCACCAACGCAAGAACAGCAACGAACCCTGCTGAAGGACACCGTCGATGACATAGTCGCTCTCATACAGCACCTCTCTCCTGACCAGCCAGTTCTCATCTACAGCATTTCACTTGGTTGCATGCATGCCCTTGAACTGCTCAGCACTCATCCAGACTTGGTCCGAGAGATAATTGTCCATGACCCGTGCATACCATGCCTCCTACCAAAGCAGAGCTATGAGCAGGTCTCTGCAGCATTCCAGTCGACCGTTTCGATATACAAAGCCCATGGTCCGGCTGCCGCCTCGGAGACATTTGTCCCGGTCGTAACGAGCGATGAAGACCGTGCGCTGCTTCGTGACTCGCCCACTCACAAGAAGCTCCTTGCGTTGTCAATTCTCTGTTTCAACTTCCTCTTCGAATATGAGTTACCTGTCCTGCTAGGATACCAAGTGCCCTTCCCTGTGTTGAAGGTCTATCGGGAAAAGATTACTCTCATTAGGGGTGAATTGTCCTCAACTCCGTTGACCACTGAACCGATCACCACCTTAGGTGCCGAGTTAGGCTTACCAGTAAAGATGGTAGCCGGTGGGCATCTGCCATCCGCTACTCATCCTGAGGCCTTCACAGAAGAGTTGTTGAGTATTCTGAGGGAAGCATTGTGAGGCTTTCATGAACATCATCTCCGCTGCCTTTCCGGAGCAGGACACCCGATTCTGTTCTTGTCCAGCCTTATCCTAGGCATATGAGTGCCGTATATAGCAAACTTAATCCCGATTAGCGGGCAATAGAGAACAATCAAATATCGTTAGTCGTCGGACATACCAATGCTAAAGCCACGTGTTGAATTAGAGAAAGAGATATCGTGTCAGCGGGACCAAATACCACTGTGTCGCCGAAGGTAGGAATTCATCAACACCTTTTATTCGCCAATTGAACGAGGTATGGAAAAACTTGGCATACAACAGAAATACACAGTAAGGTATGTCACCAGCGACTACCTTTCCAGAGTCTGGCCATAAAATCTCGCTTGGCCGAGTTTGGATGATTGGATACCAAGCGGACTTTGTTTGCGGTTTCTCGTGTTTTCGGATGGTCGGGACCCATGGTCTTCTCATAGCTGGCAAGAGCGCGCAAGTAAAGCTCCTTGGCCCTGTGGGCTTTGTGCTGATCCCGATACAAGTCTCCTAAGTTAGATACCGCGTCCAATGTAAGGAAATGATTAGGACCCAGGCTTTTTTCATATCCATCTAGGCATTCTTTGAACATTTTCTCCGCTTCTTTCAGTTGGCCCCGGTCTTGGTGGACGACACCTAGATTGTTCAAAGCACCGAGTGCTGCAGAATGCGTTGGGCTGTGTTTCCGCCATTCGGCCAAGACCAACTTGTAGGTCTCTTCTGCTTCCCGGAGTCTGCCCTGTTCTCGGTATACATTTGCTAAGTTGTTCAGAATAGCAAGCACCGGTCCACTGCGCTTCCCATTGATCTGCTCTTTGGCGGACAGAACGCGTTGAAATAATGATTCTGCCTTATCGAGCTTCCCTCTCTGACAACACAAAACAGCCAGCGTATGGGCCAACTCAAGTGTATAGGTGTGGTCATGACCAAAGGTGCGGTCAAAGCCGTTGAGTGCTCGTTCTTGCATCTGCTCCGCTTCCTGCAGCCTGCCTTGCATATAATAGAGATTTCCAATATGGTGGATAGTATGAAGAGTCGAGGAGTGACAAGCGCCGAGAACCTTCTCTCGTCCAGACAAAACGCGTTGGTACATTTCCTCGGCCGCTTTCAATTTACCCTGAGAGCGATAAATGGTGCCTAGTTGGAATTGCGTGTCGAATACAGACGAGTGGTCTTTCCCAAATACTGTCATCTTTCCAGAAAGGGCTCTCTCACACATTTCTTCAGCTTCCTGCCCTCGGCCTTGCTCAAAATAGACAACACCTATGTTATGGATTGTGTCTAGCGTCGACGTATGATATTCACCAAGAGATCTCTGTTTGCCCCTCAAGGCTTCGTCGTACAGCTCTTCTGCTTCG